TTATAAAGAAAAGGACATGGGAGGGGGGATGAAAGGAGGGTGATTCCTCATTTTCTGGCCAACTCTAGAATTTATATTTCTGGCTGACTCCAGGATGGCAATAATAATATTTGAAGCCTTATCCAGGTTTAGATGCCATATTCTTCTGTCCCCATAGTTTGGGGGTATTTGAACCCAGGTTTTGGTCACATCCCTGTACTTTTCCTTTTTGTGATGGTGATGCTTTGTGGGCAATGACTCGACGGGGCTCTATTCTTCTCAGGATAATTCAGCATAAGCAAAAAAGCCTGCTTGGAAATCCAGGAGGAATGTATCTGCCTGTACTATCTTGATGTATAATCAGGATGGTGCACAATCAGAAAGGATATGACTTTTCTGAGGGGCAGGGTAGTTTGATGGAAAAGGGACCAACCAGGAAGTGACTTGTAGGTGTGCTTTTTCTAGTGCTTATGTTCTTCTGCTAGTTGGTATGCAGAGTATTTCTTCATGTGAATGGTGAAGCAATAGGAAATATTGCTTCTCATTTCCATGTGTGTTAACACCACAGAGGTAACAGGGAATCTAGTGTCTCTGTGTTCTGTTTTTGGCCTGCCCAGTCCTGTCAGCTCCCAGTTCCTGATGGTCCTCTACTCCAGTCTGTCACTTTATTAACTGTATCCCATGCATTCCTTTATTTCCCATCCATTCATCAATGTTTTTGTATGTTTGCAGTCCTTATCATCCCTGTTTTGTTACAATGGAAGATCATGAGACTTGATATCTATGAGTTGAATATTTATACTTTCTGTCTGTGTCCTCTGTAACTGTCGCCCTCTCCATGCTAGTTGCTGCTGTCTGCATACATTTGTGGAGTGAAGGGGCTGTCTGGCTCGGCTTTCTTTGGCCTGCTCCCCAGCCATAACTGTTTTCTGGCTCTCTGTATTCTTCTTTGAACTGGGACCATTTGTGTTGGCAATTGGTTGGCAGTGGCACTAGTTACACCCCTTGTGAGGTTTCCCCATCTGGTGATAATGTCTACCATTCTATGTCCCAGGGCTATGCCAATGGTGACCTGAGTTCATGACTTTCTTTTTTCTGCCAGGTTCTTGCATTTCTCTGCCCCATCTTTAATTCTTTTCCTAACAGATTGTTATTAGTGGTGCCAAATAGCTGTGACACCGAGAGGAGTTGGCTCTGCTGTACCTCCACCTTTCCGTGAGGGACTCTGACAGTGGTCTTGGCTTGTGCATTTGCAATTAGTCCAGCTTTGGAGATGGATCAGTTTCTCCACAAGCCCCTAGCCCACAAAACCATGAACACGGGCCCATTTCCTTGCAGCTCCACCGTCTTTTGTAGTTTCCCTTTACTTTCCACAGTGCATTTGTAGTGAGGGGCAGACTCTGTTCACTGGTACTGAGAGTGGAGCAAAATCCCACAGTCAACTTATTTTCAGATGACAAGTAGTACACCTCTGTATCAGTTCTGGAGATACATTCTTTCCAGGCCTCCCATAATTAAGGACAGCATCAGGGCCCATATCTATGAACTCTCAGCTACTTCTCTGGTATTAATATTGCTGCTTGTGTCTCAGTCACTTGCATTTTTTATCTGTTTTATTGTTGAACAGAGAGCAGAGTAGAGGAATTAATTCATCCACCCACTCATATACTGCACAGTCCAAGCTCACTGTCAGTTCTCATCTCCCTTTTTTGAGGAATGGCTCTCAGATTTTGGTTTTTGGAATATTCTTATTTGCTAGTGAATAATTGTGTCACATGCAATCTATACCTGCAAGTTTTTATCACGTTGAATTGACTTTCTGGAATATACATACTAGAAATGACACATGAATTTGTATACAACATATGCTCAAACTATTTAGACAGTATTTCCAAATGATCACTCTCCACTGAGTCTATTATTTACTTCTTTAATGATGGTACAATGCCAAAAATAAGAATCTTAAAAAGTTCTTAAATGATCTGAATTCACATAAGCAAGCTTTAGATTGATCTTAGAAGGAAATTCACATTACGTAGTGTAGCATTAAATATACCAAACCACACTTTTGACTAGACTATAAGGCCATAAAGGCACCGATTGCTCATTTGAATTGCTAGAATATCAAATCCCATGCTATTTGCCCTGTTTTTAATTAAATAACAAACTCTGAGTCTTCTGACCATGTAAAGGGCCTCTTGATTGGTTGAGCCATTTAGATGATTATTTAAATATTAGATGCTTGTTTTTTTTTACGGCTCCTGCTGTCGGTAATGAATTACATCTTATAGTAGTTTAATATTTTAGCTGGCCTGCATCCAGTGTCCATTATAATGTTAATCTGCTAATATTTACTGATGGGTATTGAGATATTGGGTCTTGTCTTATCCAAAGATGAAGGGTTTAAATGAAGCACTTTATGACAAAACCCTTTAATTAGCTACGCAGATCCTTTTTCTGGATAACAATTCCCCCTTTGGTTATATCTAGTCCCTAGATATTGCAGCAAGTGGGTAGAGCCACTCTCTCTCCTATTTGGCCAATCCCCATTGTGGTGCAGCCTTGTGAGACTTTTACCTTTGTGGCACAGTATATTGAGTTTGAAATCTGTATTTAAGTACTTCCCCTTAACTGCTCACTGCTTCCTGTATGAAAGGGAAGACCTAATATAAAATGCCAATTTATAAACTATAGTAAATCAGCACAATGATGGGGGGTTAACATAGATGAGATTGCAGCTCTACTTTCTTTGTTACATGTTCATAATCTCATAGATTTTATGGCCGGAAAGGACCATTATAGCCATCTAATCTGATCTGCTGTCTAACACAGGTCAGAGAATTTCACCCAGTAATTCCATAGCTTCTGGCCGAGCTAGATCATATATTGTAGCAAGACATCCAAACTTGAGTTAAGTTTTTTGGCATAGTGTGACATCATTTCAAGTCTCTCATTTGTCTTACAACATTTGTATAGTGAAACGGTTCTCAACCTATTTATCATTGTGGGGTGTTACCTGGGCCATCGGTTGAGAACCACAGCGCCCCCCCCCAATTGTCCCTGACAGATCCCTATGCCCAGCACCCTAGCCCCCGCCCAGAGACCCCTCCCCAGAGTGGGGCCAGGAGCGGATCCCACTGTGGGGCTGGGCAGCAGGACAGCCCTGGACCCCGCGGCATGGCAAGGCAGGGCAGCCCCGGATCCGGCCACATGGGGCAGGGCAGCCCTGGTGGACCCAGACCCTGCTGCGCTGGCGGGGCAGCCTGGCATCCTGGACCCTGCCACGCAGGCCTGGCAGCCTTTAACACACAGCTGGGCTGCAGCTGTGTGCTAATTGGGCTGCATGCAGCCCGCGGGTTGAGAACCACTGGTATAGTGAGACTAGCATTGCTACCATTAGCAGAGATGACTTAAAGACATATCACAATATTTTTCTTGTTTTCTCTATTGCAGCCAATACATGTATAATCCTGTCTCAGCTTGTCTAGATCAGTTGCCATTATGGAAAACGGTGTTGGAGGGGTGTGTGCTAAGCAGTACTACGGCTTGTTCCAGAGGCTGATATTTTATACACTTCTTTATCACAGTGTTTAAAATGAGAGGGGATTGTTACTTTGCTCCATGATAGTTAAATTGATGTTTTTCAAAAGGGTTATTTTCTATGCTGTGAAACCATAGCAGATAAATGTGCACTCACACTGACTGTATTATTGCCTTTCTGCTGCAGTCAGGCTTCCATGACAGAAGATACGGTTAAAAAAAAAAAAAAAAAAGGAAAATTAAGTTATGCAATAGATGGAACTAAACTGAATACTGCATCATAAACCCATTTCCCCCCCACCATAAAAACCCAGTGGCTCCAACACATGGGGAAGTTCTAATCCTCATCTGAGTTGTGTATAATGGACTGAACTGGACCAATAAAACTAAACAGCCCCTTAAATTTGGGAAATTTGCATTTACATCCAAATCTGAATGTTGTGGCTTGAGACCATTTCTGTAGGATACTGTCTAGGGTTGCCAACCTTCCAGGATTGTCCTGGAGTCTCCAGGAATTAAAGGTTAATCTTTAATTAAAGATTATATCTTGTAATGAACCCTCACAGAATACATCCAACCAAAACTGGTGACTGTAATACTGTCTCCTCTTAAATGCATATGACAACAGGTTAGCGTTATGTGTTTATTCCCATCAGGGCCAGCCGTAGACCTAATGGTGCCACAGGAGGGGAGCAACTTTGGCACCTCCCTTCCATTTGTTAAACATTTGAATACCTTATTTTTCACTGCATTTGTAGCCCATTTCAGGACCGATGCGTGGTTTGCATGCTTCTGCATCTGTTCTTTGCTCTGTTCATGTGTAGGAACACATGTTCCAATAAATCCCTTCCTCCGCTCACCGTTGCAGCCCCTTTCTATAGAATTCTTGAAAATGCTGTATATAGAGGCTCATGGGCAGGGCCAGCCCTAGACCAAATAGTGCCCCCCAAGCCTGGCATCCCAGGTTGTCTGCCCCTAAATTCGGCTCTGCTGCCCGCCCCCTCCACAAACACTCCTACAGAATCATGACCCTTTTAAAGGGAAATTTATTAAAGCATAACTGGAGTTTTGCCATATGTTTTGATCATCTCCACTCCATTCGTGCTGGGTACACAGAGCCCTAGCCAAAGGCCCACTGAAGACAATGACAGTCATTCCATTGACTTCAGTGAGCACTGGATTGGACCCATACAGCACAAATATTTTCAGAATTCCAGGAGATTATGTGGCAGTTTCCATTTAATTTCAGTTATCTGGCAACAATATCAGGCGGTGGTATGAAATATTTAGAGGATAATGTTTGCAGTCTCTAAAGGTAGGATTTAAATAAGAAAGGTGTTTAAATTTTTATTATTACTATTTTAAAAGAAACAAACTGCCCTAAAACATGGTTAATTCTTGTGGACTCTGACTTTAACATAAGTAGGAGCATAAGGCACTAAGCATTCGAAATTGACATTTTAATGCACAACAGTAGAAAACTTAAGAATTTTGATTTAGATTGATTTGAAGCCGTAAAAAATTGACCTTGTAAACATTTCCATAGGAGGTAGAACACATACATTTGACTATTTGTCAAACAAGAGAAAGTAAACAGTGACTCTGCAATCCTAATAAATAACAAGCATCACAGGCATTAAATAAACAATTTTTATACAAAAAAGGTTTACGTGAAAGACTGAAACAGTGTATTTAATAAATTAAAAATGGGAAAAATCATCTCTTCACAGCCAAGTCATGTCTGCAAGAATCGTTGGTTCTTTCTGCTCAGCCTGAAGTTATGACTTCAGAACGGCATTGATGCTGACAATTTCTGAGCAACTCATGGGCAGGGCACAATCTGACTACAGCTTGTTTTCTGTGTGGGTGTTAATATCTTCATGCTGGGTTCCTTAAGACCAGTTTTTAATACTTTTTCATCCCAGTCATTGATGGGCTTTGACAACTAACAAAACCACCAGAGGCTAGAAGTGGAAAATAAGTGTAAAAAAACAAAATGCCTCTCCTAATTCAGGTGTCTCCAGCAGCCGCTCCCATGAAGACCGTGGTGATTGGTGGTAAAGATGGCACCATCTCTCTGTTGGGCTGCCCATGGGAGTCCAGCGTTTCCTGAGAGGGATACTGGTTAGATGTTCCGTACATGCACTGGGAGGAGGATGCAGCTATTGCAGTTTGCATATTAGAAGCTGTGAAAAGAAAGGTAACTATCACTGCACGTTGTCTGTTCGATTCTCTCTATCTTAATCTACAGTTTACTTTAATTAGGTACAGGCCTGTATTCAGACATGCCATCTCCCTAAACACAGGTAATGGGGAGGGCAGGGGGGCTGAAATCTGAACCCATTCTGGATTCAGATATGAATTTCCCAAATGGCTCCTCTCTTTCTAAAGGGATAATCTAAAATCCCAGATCTGAAGGAACATCTCTGAATTTTTAGGATGTTACAAATCCAGCTGAACTTCACAGCAGGAGGCCATCTCTAACACAAGGCGTGCAAAATGAAGCAGGTTTGCTATTCCTCCTCCTCCCCCATCAAGCATCAGTCATTCCAGTATTGATTCTTAAGGCTTGTCTACACTTACAGCCCTGCACCAGTGCAGCTATGTTGCTGTAACGCTTAGTGAAGACGCTAACTGCACCAATGGGAAAGGTTCTCCTGTCAGGGTGGGTACTCCACCTCCCTGAAAGGTGGTAGCTAAGTTAACTGGAGAAGTCTTCCCGTCAACATAGTGTGTCTACACCAGGAGTTTGGCACCAATGGGAAAGGTTCTCCTGTCAGGGTAGGTACTCCACCTCCCTGAAAGGTGGTAGCTAAGTTAACCGGAGAAGTCTTCCCGTCAACATAGTGTGTCTACACCAGGAATTTGGTCAATACAACTGCAACGTGGCAAAGTCACACCCCTGAGCAACGTAGTTATACCAACATATGTTAATAGTGTTGACCAAACCTCAGACTGCACCACTGCCTCTAGGTGTAAAAAATCAAGCCTTCCACCTGGCAAATATCATCCCAGGACACAAAAGGCTCTTGATGAGGACAATCCCTAGAGTGTTTTTTCGCTGCTGAAGTTTCTCTTAAAGAAGCCAGCCAGCCAGCCAGCAGTGGCTATTTGGAAGTCTCCAGAAGAACCATAGTTAAACACTGTTTGGGGATTTCTTTATGACTGGCACAGGTGAATACAGCTCTTTAAGACGTTATTGCAAGGAAAAGAACAAGGGCACAGTTAAGTGGCAGGATGAGTGGGCAGCTGTCCATTCGTAGATTTGGGGAATCATTTTTAGTCTGACTGTCTTGCCCAAATTGTTGCTCACACTTATTAGCATGATTGTTCTCACAATCAGGAGACTGTATGTGCCAATAGCAGATTAAATGTTTTCAGACTTGCCAACAGGGATACCTGACTGGCATGTGCAGCCACAGAATTAGTGTACAGTTCCACAAAATTTTTTGCATATTTCAAGAGTGTGGCCCTTTTAGTCAAAACTAGTTTAACTAGAAGACAGATGCAAATCTCTTGGAGAAAGTGGGCAAGGAGGAGCCAGAAAGAGAGCTGGGGCGATCATATTCAACCACATGTGGAGGATAGCCCTGAGCATTTCAACATTGCTAAGTCTTGAAAATTGCTAACCATTAACCGTTAAAAAAAGGGAACATCACCAATAGCAAGTTATCAAGACTCAGGCTTCAGTGGTTTGGAAACTCCAAGAAAAGGCATGATCTAGTAGAGTGCAAGTGAGATGTGATTCAGGCTGAGCTGAAAACAAATGCCCTGTTCTGTGAGCATTTTTGAGATTCTGAAAAAAATTCCCATCCTGAATCGTGACAAAAAATCAAAATCGCAGAAATTTTCCAAGAACTGGCAGAAATATTTTACAGTTTGGGTGAATGAAAACATTTCATCGTGATAACGTCAAAATATTTTGTCTGAATGTCAGTCTTCCCCCACCCACCTTTAAAACCTTTTTTAAAGTCTAAATAACCAACATTTCTAAATGAAAAGTTATTTCGACTCAGAAACCTCAAACTTTTTGTTTCAAATGTCAAAACTGGATATTTTGGCAATTTAAAAACTCTCCCCCCCCCAGTGTTTGTGTTATTGTCATGTGAATTCATAAATTCATAGATTCCAAGGCCAGAAGGGACTACTATGATAATTTAATCTGACCTCCTGTGACCTCCTGTAAACTATGATAATTTAATCTAACGCAGGCCATAGAACTTCCCCACAATAATTCCCAATGCACAGTTTTCAGAAAAACATCCAATCTTGATTTAAACATTGTCGGTGAGAATCCATCACAACCCTGGGTAAATTGTTCCAGTGGTTAATGACTCTCAGCATTAAAAATTTACACTTTATTTCCAGTCTGAATTTGTCTAGATTCAACTTCCAGCTGTTGAATTGTGTTATATATATCTTTCTCTACTAGATTGAAGAGTCCATTATTAAGTATTTATTCCCCATGTAGATACTTATAGACTGTAATCAAGTCACTCCTTAACCTTCTCTTTTTGAGTTGGGAGATTCATTGAAGCTTGAACAGTTTCAGTTTCTCCCAGCTGGCATTTTTGGACCAAAAAAAGTTTTGTTGAAAAATTCCTGACCAGCTCTACACATGAGCTATCTAAAATAGAAGACATTATTCTTGCCTCTTTTGCCTGTTTATTGCACAAGATAAGCAGAAAAGTGGGGAAAAGAAATCAAATAGCTGAGGTCTAGAAGCAAATACATATTATGTATATAGAGCCTAATTATGCTGTGATTTACATCTTCCTTGCAGTTCTTCTGACCCCATTAATAATATTGAATCAAAATAAGGGTCTAGTATAATGCAGCTGACTTCCATGGAGTTAAAGGGGGATGAACTAGTCCTTTATTCTTAATATTTACCTTTCCAACCATCTTGGGATCACACAGTTCTCACTCTGGTAAAACTCACTGACATCAGTGAATATTTTGCCTTAAGTAAGGACTACAAGATTTGGCAAAGGTGTTTAGACTATACTGTATTAAGGTGTCACCAGGTTCATAGTGCTTGCTTGATCATCAGAGGTACTTACTTATGGGGGTCCGACAGACTATTGAAGATGAGGAATCTGTATAGTATGAGCCTGCCTGTTTTCTTCCATTGTCATCTAAGATGTTGAGTGGGTCATGAATGTCATTGTATGGCGGCAGTGGTCGAATGCTGCTTACACTACTGATTACAGAAACATGCTGATCCACCATTGAGCCAAGTCTGTGGGATTCTGGGTAGTTTATGTTGTTTCCATAGTATCCTATTGACAGGAGAAAAAACAAAAAAGTAAAATAAAATAACTACATAAAAAAGAAAGGTTTCAGAGTAACAGCCGTGTTAGTCTGTATTCGCAAAAAGAAAAGGAGTACTTGTGGCACCTTAGAGACTAACCAATTTATTTGAGCATGAGCTTTCGTGAGCTACAGCTCACTTCATCGGATGCATACCGTGGAAACTGCAGCAGACTTTATATACACACAGAGAATATGAAACAATACCTCCTCCCAGCCCACTGTCCTGCTGGTAATAGCTTATCTAAAGTGATCATCAGGTTGGGCCATTTCCAGCACAAATCCAGGTTTTCTCACCCCCCCCCCCCCCACAAATTCACTCTCCTGCTGGTAATAGCCCATCCAAAGTGACAACTCTCTACACAATCACAGAGCCTAATAACATCAGCCACACTATCAGAGGCTCGTTCACCTGCACATCCACCAATGTGATATATGCCATCATGTGCCAGCAATGCCCCTCTGCCATGTACATTGGTCAAACTGGACAGTCTCTACGTAAAAGAATAAATGGACACAAATCAGATGTCAAGAATTATAACATTCATAAACCAGTCGGAGAACACTTCAATCTCTCTGGTCACGCAATCACAGACATGAAGGTCGCTATCTTAAAACAAAAAAACTTCAAATCCAGACTCCAGCGAGAAACTGCTGAATTGGAATTCATTTGCAAATTGGATACTATTAATTTAGGCTTAAATAGAGACTGGGAGTGGCTAAATCATTATGCAAGGTAGCCTATTTCCCCTTGTTTTTTCCTACCCCCCCCCCCAGACGTTCTGGTTTAACTTGGATTTAAACTTGGAGAGTGGTCAGTTTGGATGAGCTATTGCCAGCAGGAGAGTGAGTTTGTGTGTGTGTGTGTGTGTGTCCCTGGAAAAAAAAAGTGGGGGGGTGAGAAAGCCTGGATTTGTGCTGGACATGGCCCACCTTGATTACCATGCACATTGTAGGGAGAGTGGTCACTTTGGATGAGCTATTACCAGCAGGATAGTGAGTTTGTGTGTGTGTTTTTTGGAGGGGGGTGAGAGAACCTGGATTTGTGCAGGAAATGGCCCAATTTGATTATCATGCACATTGTGTAGAGAGTTGTCACTTTGGATGGGCTGTTACCAGCAGGAGAGTGAGTTTGTGTGTGGGGGGGTGGAGGGTGAGAAGACCTGGATTTGTGCTGGAAATGGCCCAACTTGATGATCACTTTAGATAAGCTATTACCAGCAGGACAGTGGGGTGGGAGGAGGTATTGTTTCATGATCTCTGTGTGTATATAATGTCTGCTGCAGTTTCCACGGTATGCATCCGATGAAGTGAGCTGTAGCTCAGGAAAGCTCATGCTCAAATAAATGGGTTAGTCTCTAAGGTGCCACACGTCCTCCTGTTCTTTTTATAAAAAAGAAAGGTTGCTCTAGTGGCTTAACTGCATGACCGGGCGTCAGAAGATCTGGGTTCTACAGCCATCTCTGTTAGTGCCTAGCAGCGCGACCATGGGAAATCCATTACCCCTCTGTGCCTCTGTTTCCCCATCTGTCAAATGGAGGTAATAATACTTCCCAGGGGCGCTGTGAGATTTCAATTAATTAATGCTAGTAAAGTGCTTTGAGAACTGCTGACAGATCATGCTCTTGAAGAGCAAAAATGATTATCATCACAGATGGGTCAAAACCAAACGCTTGCAGCTGAACCCACTGGATTTTAGGTAGTACAGGATTAGCATCTCTAAGTTGAAATTCATTGTTCCAGGTCAGCTCCAAAACCAGAAGGGGCCAATTTTCTGGGTTCCTGTCATGCTGGAGAGAAAACCTAACTAGAACAGCCACTCTTACAAGAATTTGGTACAGTGGAATGCAAAGCAAAACACTAACTTTTATATGGCCTTCAATTCAAACTTCAAACCCTAGCTCAAATATCTGGATCTAGTTCCAAACACGACTTCTTCATTTTCTATTTATCCTTGTTGTGTTCTCTTGAATATGTATAGGAAAAACTAAACAAGGATTATTTATAGAACTAATATAAATTAGCTACAAGTCACTGGTTGTAGTGATTATGCTACAATAAATCCAATATGTAAAATCCACTTCTTTTAAGTTTTCCCTAACTAGCTACAGTATGTAGTTCTTAGTGAATTCCTTGGCACACAGCTTATTAAACACTAAGGCATTATCTATGTGCAATGAAGAGGGAAGAGAATCTAAAAACTTGCCCAAGATTTTGGCACAGAGTGAATCTTTCAATGTAAAGTCAGAGTCAAACCTATCTCAGCCACAATCAAGTAGTCAGAGGAGCATCTACTCAGCTTCATATCCCTAATTCAATTCTGTGCTTTTGAAAATTTGACCCATAATAGTAAACAGATTTTGAAATGGATGGCCAAGAAAAAAATACAAGAGAAGAAAATTCTAATTATAATGGTATTGCATATGTGCTGTGCCTTTCATCCTGAAGGACCCGAAAGCACTTCATAAACTGATCTACAAGTCACAGTCCCAATAGGAATCATTTCACCGACCACATCTCTAGGGGTGGGACATGGCCACTGTTTTAAGTTCACAGCAATCCACACTAGGACCAAAATCCTGAATTGCAACCAAGCTGTGCTTTAAGCCACTTTTGTTTTGCTACCCTCGCCTAGGGGCAAGCTGGCCATGGGACTTGTCCTGGTATTAAGAAGAGCAACTTGAGGGTTGCTCCATTTGATACCAGCTGCCGAAGGGGCTCTTCCAGCAATGGAGATTGCTGAAGCACAGAGACATGGGCCTTTTACTCCCTTTATGCTCGACAGGCCAACTCTGCTAGAGGGAGGTTAGCACAGGAGCTGCTAAGGCACTCTGTGCCACCCGGGTATCCCCCAGGGCAGTAGGAATAGGGAAATCAATCCTCAAGTAGCTAGTTACACTGGCTTTACAGTTGCTTTGTGTCATCAAAGCAGTGGCAACCAGCCAGGGTGCACAGGAGGATTGAAGTTGTGGACAGGAATTGAAGAACACCTTATGTGCAAAAGACAAAGAGCAAGTATTCCCTCTGGGTATGAATAGATAATCCGAGAGAAAAGAAGATGATTATAAAGATTAATACCATTGGAAGCATTAGGGGGATATGTTGCTCCTGGACAGGCAGCAGACACTGAATTGCCCAGGAAATTGAAGCTCCCAGTGTTCAAAAACTGCATATTGTGTGTGTCCTGTGTAGTCGAGGAGGGACCGTAGTTGGAGGGAGACCTGGGATTGTATGGAGACACAGCACAACTGCTACTGAAGTAGTCTCTGGAGAACTGCTGCTCACTCAAGGCTGCGAATCGACTGTGCTCTGCCCTGTGGTGATAAACTCCTGAAGGGGTAGGGGTCTGGGGCCTGAACATGGCCTGGTAATTGGAATTGCTTCCATAATAGCTCTGATTGGTTTGTGACAAAGTCTGGTAAAGGGGCTCTGAATAGGAAGAGCAGTGTGAATGTGTGGATAACACTGGGCCTACACTTGGCGGTCTCCCAGCCATTGGGCCCTGGTTGATAACACTTCCTCGATTGGCCATGGCTGGGGAAATGGGTGGAGTCATCAGATGACCAGTGCTTTGAGAGAGCTCCAGCTGACCTGAAAGAAACAAACATTAGTGTTTGGTAGAGTTCATGCTGTGATATTCTCAGATGCTGACTAGAGTGGGTTTTTCTAAAACTGTAAATATAATACAGTGGTGAGTGTGTAGAGGATCTGTGGGCCCTCAGTTCAATCTCTGGTGTGCTGGCCAACATGGCAGCCACCACATTCAATGGAGGAGGGGGGCACCTCTGGTATTCAAACTGCTGTGGACCTCAAATGTTTGAAGCAATGATGCTTCTATCCACTGCTCAAAGGAAGTTCCTCCTGAGCATCTGAGGTCCACAGTGGTTCAAATCTACAGATGTGCTTCCACTTAATGTGACAGCCACCCTCTACTGGTTAACATACCAGGACTGAACTGGGGAACTCTAGAGCTAAAAGCATGAGCAGCTCCAGCTCCAGGGCAAATGCTCTGCAGCTAGTGACTGTAACAACTCATATCCTCTTTGAATTGGCTTAGGGGGGACCCATAACACAATCACCAGTTGATTACATAAAGTTTACACACTGTTATTCCCCCTTTAGTAACTATAGACTAAAAGAGCAATTATATCAGTAAAGAGAAGATACTGATGCATAGAATCACAGAAACGGAGGGCTGGAAGGGCCCTTGAGAGGTCATCTAACCCAGCACCCAGAGCTGAAGCAGGACCAAGTGTACAAGACAATCCCTCACAGGCGTGTGTCTAACCTGCTTTTAAAAACCTCCAATAAAAATCTCCACAACCTCCCTTGGAAGCCTATTCCAACGTTTACCTATCCTTATAGTTAGAAAGTTTTTCCTAATATCTAATCTAAATGTCCCTTGCTGCAGGCAGATTGAGCCAATTACTTTTTATCTTTCCTTCAGTGGACATGGAAAACAATTGATCCCTGTCCTCTTTATAACAGCCCTTCACAATTTTGAAGACTGTTCTCAGGTCAATCCTCAGTTTACTTTTTTTTCAAGACTAAAACATGCCTGTCTTTTTTAACCTTTCCTCAAAATTCAGGTTTTCTAAACCTTTTATCATTTTGTAGCTTTCCTCTGGATTCTCACCAATTTGTCCACCTCTTTCCTGAAGTGTGGTGCTCAGAACTGGACACATTACTCCAGCTGAGGCCTCACCAGTACAGAATAGAGCAGAGCAATTACCTCCTGTGTCTTATATATGACACGCCAGTCAATACAGAGTTGACTCATATTCAGTTTGTGATCCATTATAACCCTAGATAATTTAGAGCTATTAGAGTTATTCCCCGTTTTGAAGTTGTGTGATTGATATTTTTTCTTTCTGTGTGAAGTACTTTGCACTTGTCTTTATGAATTTCACATTGATGAAGTCAGACCAATTCGTAATCCTGTCTTCCAAAATGCTAGCAACCCCTCCCTGCTAGCTGTAATTCACAAATTTTATAAGCGTACTATCCACTTCATTGTCCAAGTCATTGATGAAAATATTGAATAGCACTGGATCCAGGAAAGACCCTTGCAGGACCCCACTTGATAAGTCCTCTGAGTCTGACAGTAAACCACTGATAACTACTCTTTGAGCAAAAGTGCTGACTCTGTGGGTGCTCTGGGGCTCAAGCACATGCGGGAAAAAATAGTGGATGCTCAGCACCAACCAGCCATTGTGGTTCTGTGGCCCTAGGGCTGGCCATCAATCAGCTGTTCGGTGGGCCCCAGGGCTGGCTGTCAATCGGGAGGGGCTGGTGGGAGGCACTTGTGGGAGAGGGTCAAGATGAGCGAACAGTGGGCAGGGGGACATCGGGGGAGGGGGTGGAGTCGTCGGGGAAGGGGTGGAGTGGGGGAGGGAAGAGGCGGAGCGAGGGCGGCACCTCAGGGGAAGAGGCCCAGCAGGACCAGGTCCTTGGGGGAAAGTAGGGGTGGAGCACCCAGCGGGAAAAACAAAAGTCAGCACCTGTGTCTTTGAGTATGGTCTTTCAACCAGCTCATAGTAATTTCATATAGACCACATGCGGTTATGAGAATGTCACATGGAATGTGTCAAAAGCCTTACTAAAATCAAGATATATAATGGCTACAGATTTCCTCTTATCTAATAACCCTGTCAAAGCAAATAACCCTGTCAAAGAAGGAAATTAGGTTGGTTTGCCATGATTTGTTCTTGACAAATCCATGTTGGCTATTCCTTATTACCTATTATTTTCTATATGCTTAAAAACCGATTAATACCTGTTAGCTGCATATTTTCACTGTCCCCAGTGGAGAAGGGGTTCAAACCAGAATATAAACTGCTGTGCTGGTTGGCTGACAATGACACATACGTTTGCTCTGCAAGGCACTCATTTTTGACTGAAGTGTCACTAGGAAGGGTAGCAGCTTTGTTGCGGTTTGCGAGGAAGCAAGAGCTTGGTGATGCGGTAAAGGCAGCTTTACTTGCATCTGGAAAAGTATAAGAAAATTCTTTTCAGAGTAGCAGCCGTGTTAGTCTGTATCCGCAAAAAGAACAGGAGGACTTGTGGTACCTTAGAGACTAACCAATTTATCTGAGCATAAGCTTTCGTGAGCTACAGCTCACTTCATGGGATGCATTCTTGATTGTGGTTGTATGCATATATAGCATGTAAACTCACTGTCCATATACATCAGCATGTGAACCGGCTGATGAGAATACAAGGGGCCTGTTAGTGATTCATTAACATTGTTTGATCACTTATTTTAAAACAAAAATCCTACAAAGCCTCCAAATTTGACTTAGTCAACATATGCAACTTTATTAGTGTCACTCTAGTCTTCCCCTTCCCTGCTCAAATGCCTTCCATTGTGTTCTATGTCCATAGACCTACATCATAACAGAAGAACTGCTCATAAATGAAGCAATACCGGTAATCATTTGGGTCAAATGTATCCCTCTGGAAATGTCATTAAAGTAAGTGGAAACACTCCAGCCATGAAGTCAATTGAGTTACACCAGGAATGAATTAGGCTTATAACATTTAATCCTTAATCATATGAAGGGTGGAGGAGGGGAGCTCAAAAGCCCATAAAACTCATACATTTTACAGTGTTGCCTGGCAAAACGTACTTGTTCTTTTTAGTACTTCTCAAGTTCATTGCTCACCCTGGGTGAAAACCTGGCGCCAGTGAAGTCAATGGGAGTTTTGCCATTGTCTTCAATGAAGCCAGAATTTCACTTCAGGTCCTCAAGTCCCACCCGAGTCCCCAAGTTGAATGCAAATTTTTCATAGCACAAAACTCTGTAAAGCTGAATAATAATAATAATAATAATAATAATTAATAATAAAAGGCCAATTTCCCCCTCAGATTAAATCAATGGGAACTGCTTGTATTAAAGAGCAGAATTTGACCATTAAGAAACGAAAAGCTGAAGACTGATTTCATTTAGACTGGTGTAAATCCAAAGCAACTCCATTGAGCCCAGGTCTCTGGATTTATATGGTGTAAATGAGACTTGAATTTGGTCCAAATACAATTTCTTGAGCTTTAACTGAGCTTTATTCACCTCACAGCAAAGTGCCTGGAGTATGATAAAAGTGTCAAGGTTAAAGTAGAATGATAGCTGGAAATGCTTAAAATGCTCTTTTAAAATTCCTGTTGTGCCTTTGCTCATATTAATACTTCACCAAGGATACATTTACACTGGAATAAAAGACCTGCAACATGGCCGCAGCTGGCATGGGTCAGCTGACTCAGGCTTGTGTGGCTCGGGCTGTGGAGCTAAAAATTGCTGAATAGATATTTTAGGCTTGGGCTGGAGCCTGGGTTCTGGCACCCTCCCCCTTTGCGGGGTCCTAGAGTTTGGGCTCCAGTCTGAGCCCAAACGTCTACATAGCAATTTTCCAGCGCTACAGTCGGAGCCCTGCAAGCCAAAGTCAGCTGACCCGGGCCAGCTGTGGGTGTTTAATTGCTGTGTACATGTACCCTAAAGGTGCAATACGGCTCCAGTCCTGTAAAGACCTTAACTTTAAGCATATGGGTAGTCCAACTGGAGTCAGCGAGACTACTCATGTACTTAAAAGTTAAGTATGTGCATACGTCTTTTCACGGTCTGGGCTTAAATAAATAAATAAAAACAAAAGGAATCAAATGTAACAATCAAGTTACCCAAATTCTTCATATACTTGTCCAATAGATTCTGGAGTTCTTGTTCTTTGTCATTGTTGAACTGGGTCTCCATGGCTAGCAGGATGTACTCATCTAGTAGCATACGGATCAAATGAAAAGAACCTTGGTGGGGGTGGAGGGAGAGAAGAGAGAGTGTAACGAAATTATCTTTGTGACCATCTCTCAACACTTTACAAGAAGCAAGTGAAACAAACAAATAATTGTTGGACTTTAAATGACCTGCCAAGACCAACAAGGAATAGTGCCTAACTTCTCGCTCTAATCTCTGTTTGCACTGGCCCACCTAGCTCAATATGTTTACTATCCTGTAGGCTATTTGGCCACTAATTACATCAAAGAAAAATACTGATGAAAGTGAGACATGCTTTATACATGAAGAGGGCACACACTGGAGGTAGATAAGGCTGCACTCCGCTAGAATGAGCCTGACTCTGCTCTATTTCTGTTTGTCTTGTACTAAATAACCAGACAATGGTCCACAGAGTCCTGGAGTTGATTTCAAGGAAACAACACATTCAAACCAGATCTCCCACTATAGCCTTTTCAAATATCATTTGAATGAAAAATAAAAATGTAACTTCCAATACAGAGATCAGCTGAGAAATGATGCGCTAACTGTAATTTGTGCTGAAAAAATTTCTAATTTAGAAATATCAGTTTCTAAAGGACGTTTCTAAAGTGTCTAAAGGACACTAAAATGTTAAAAGCTTCAAAGTATATGAAGTGTGAACTTGAAATCTTAAAACAAATAGGAGCAGGATGGTGTGTGTGATGTTCATTATCCCAGAGCTAAACCATAAAGATATTTTGTTAAATTCCTGGTAAAACGGCTTGATGTGAAAAACAATTATTTTTGCCAAACTGATTCAGATGTATTATTCTTATTTAAAATCACTTATCTGGACCTCTTTTCTTGGGAAATATGATTGTGTATTTTATTGCCAAGTTAAGTAATCATAATATTACCTTGTTCTTACATAGCACATTTAATCATTATTATTTGTGGTATTATTATTGTTATTTAGATCTCAGTACTTTACAAAGGCCAGTATCATTATCCCCATTTTATATGTTGGGAAATTAACTCCTAGCACTAACTCAAAAATGACAAAGAAATATCAAACCTTTAAAAACTGACATTAATCCTAGGGTACCAACTAATTACTGCTAAGAATGTTCTTTAAAAATGCAGTTGGCAATGTATATAGAATAATTGTTTGGGCTCTGGTCAGAGAAACATTCACCAGAAGACAATTCCATATGTTTGGGAAGTCTGGATAGAGTTCCAAGCAGGTAGTTCATAAAGGAGAGGTTTTATAAAGCCAAGGGTACCAAAACTTGATGCGTTGTTTAGGGTGAGATTATGCATCACTCGGGCACCAAAAAAGCTCCATTTGAGAAGGAAATCTTGAGCTCTCTTCTTCAGTGACCTCCCATTTTGTTTGCTTGCCTAAAAGAGAAAGGAAGAAAGAGGAATCTATAAGTAAATTATGTTGACTCCTGCTTGTCGGGAATCTTATTCAGCCTGTGCACGTGGCCACACAACACAGCAGGGGAGACAGGAGAGTGGTGTCTGCTTGGCAGTTCACGGGATATCTTGGGCAGTCTGGCAGGACAGTTTGGCTGCATGACACACGCTCTGCAGTGCACATACTTGGTACTTCAGAAAGGATTAGTGCACGCTCTCGCTAGTGCAAGCAGGCTGGGGACCCAGCCAGGCCTCCAATGAGGCAGGCTGCTTTCCCTTTTGGCTGTGAGCTGGATGGTTTTTCTGCTGGGCTCCTGTCCTAGTACTCAAGATAGTAATACCGCTCTACACATGTATAGGTAGAGAGGAAAAAACTCTTTGCACTGTATTATGCCACCTACAAACAAAGAGCTGGAACTGATGATCCCTGTGCTTAAACTTCATATGTATACTATTCAGTGGGCCATCTCGCTTGTCAAACAACAAAATGGGAAATCTAGTATCCTAACACTGGGGCTTTTAATACTAGCGGCTCATTGTTGTCACTTCACCCTGACAGGGCTTTGCTTCATGTGCTAACATTATAACCTGTCACTTTTGCAAACAGAAAGAAGCGGTGTTGTGAATTTGACAGTGACTGCACTTTAACATGAACAGAAGGTAGAGGGCAATGGGAGGATTACATGTTCTGTAAATGATTAGCTCTGACTCAACTAATCTCGACTCCTATGGGGGACTATTGGTTGGGTTTGTTTTTAACTAACCCTGGGAAAACAACCCTGGAAGCCATCCCTGCTTGCCTTTGTATCGTATTACATAATAGATGCTAAAGGGGGATGATCTCCTATCTTTTCTGCCTGCTTTGTTTATCACTGATTGTCTAAAAGAATATCCCACATCACATTTTAGATTGTAACAGTCAAATTCTGCCTTCAGAGAAGAGGGCTGAAACCTCACTTAAATCAGTGGGAGTTGTGCATTTGTGTATGTAAGACAGTAAATATCATAATGCTGCTTTATAAATCCATGATACGCCCACACCTTGATTACTTTATGTAGTTCTGGTCGCCCTGTCTCAAAAAAGATATATTAGAATTGGAAAAGCCACAGAGAAGGGCAACAAAAACAATTAAGAGTATGGAACAGCATAAGGAAGTGTTATTTACCCCTTCACATAACACAAGAATCTGGGGTCACTCAATGACATTAATAAGCAGCAGGATTAAAACAAACAAAAGGAAGTACTTCTTCACACAACACACGGTCAACCTGTGGAGATCTTTGCCAGGGGATGTTGTGAAGGTAAAAACTATAACTGAGTTCAAAAAAGAATTAGCTAAGTTCATGGAGATAGATCCATCAATGGCTATTAGCCAAGATGGTCAAGGATCAACAATTATGACGAGATAACTGGCTCTGTGGATGAGGGGAAAGCAGTGGACGTGTTGTTCCTTGACTTTAGCAAAGCTTTTGACACAGTCTCCCACAGTATTCTTGCCAGCAAGTTAAAGAAGTATGGGCTGAATGAATGGACTATAAGGTGGATAGAAAGCTGACTAGATTGTCGGGCTCAACGGGTAGTGATCAATGGATCCACGTCTAGTTGGCAGCCGGTATCAAGTGGAATGCCCCAAGGGTCGGTCCTCGGGCCAGTTTTGTTCAATATCTTCATTAATGATCTGGAGGATGGCATGGATTGCACCCTCATCAAATTTGCAGATGACACCAAACTGGGAGGAGAGGTAGATACGCTGGAAGGTAGGGATAGGATACAGAGGGACCTAGACAAATTAGAGGATTGGGCCAAAGGAAATCTGATGAGGTTCAACAAGGACAAGTGCAGAGTCCTGCACTTAGGATGGAAGAATCCCATGGACCGCTACAGACTAGGGACCGTATGGCTAGGCAGCAGTTCTGCAGAAAAGGACCTAGGGGTGACAGTGGACGAGAAGCTGGTATGAGTCAACAGTGTGCCCTTGTTGCCAAGAAGGCCAATGGCATTTTGGGCTGTATAAGTAGAGGCATTGCCAGCAGATCGAGGGACGTGATCATTCCCCTCTATTCGACTTTGGTGAGGCCTCATCTGGAGTACTGTGTCCAGTTTTGGGCCCCACACTACAAGAAGGATGTGGAAAAATTGGAAAGCGTCCAGCGGAGGGCAACAAAAATGATTAGGGGACTGGAACACATGACTCATGAGGAGAGGCTGAGGGAACTGGGATTGTTTAGTCTGCGGAAGAGACGAATGAGGGGGGATTTGATAGCTGCTTTCAACTACCTGAAAGGGGGTTCCAAAAAGGATGGATCTAGACTGTTCTCAGTGGTAGCAGATGACAGAACGAGGAGTAATGGTCTCAAGTTGCAGTGGGGGAGGTTTAGGTTGGCTATTAGGAAAAACTTTTTCACTAGGAGGGTGTGAAGCACTGGAATGCCTTACCTAGGGAGGTGGTGGAATCTCCTTCCTTTGAAGTTTTTAAGGTCAGGCTTGACAAAACCCTGGCCGGGATGATTTAGTTGGGGATTGGTCCTGCTTTGAGCAGGGGGTTGGACTAGATGACCTCCTGAGGTCCCTTCCAACTCTGATATTCTATGATTCTATGATTCTAAGGATGCAGTCCCACGCTCTGAGTGTCCCTAAGCCTCTGACTGACAGAAGCTGGGAGCAGACAACAAGGGGTGGATCATTCAATAATTGCCTTGTCCTGTTCGTTCCCTGTGAAGCATCTGGCACTGGTGAATATCAGAAGACAGAATAGTGGGCTAGAGGGACAATTGTTCAGACCCAGTATGGCTGTTGTTATATTATATGAGGGCTGAATTAATCTCTAAGGGCTCTATTCAGCATTGTACTTAATAATAACAATGCCTATTTCTTATATAATGCTTTTTATCAGTAGATCTCAAAGTGCTTTACAAAGGAGGTCAGTATCATTATTCCCATTTTACAGATGAGGAAACTGAGGCACAGAGAAGGGAAATGACTTGCCAAAGGTCAACCCACAGATCCACGGCAGAGTCAGGAATAGACCTCAGGTCTCCTGAGTCCAAGTCCAGTGCACTAGCTACTAGATTACACTGCCTTCCCTTAATGTACTCGCTTACATTAAGGAGCTCAGTAAGATGATATAAGACGTTAGCATTACAAACCGTTATATTTTCAAGCAAAAATAATTGAAAAAAAGTTCCTCTCTCACTGGAAAGGCTTGATTCAGGATTTGGTATTTGACTTGAGATCACTGATCTCACTATCAGCTGAAGCACTGAATTTTCCTTATCTCTTTGTTCTTCTAGATGCTTACGAATCACAAGCTGGGATGTCATTTATTATTCCAGATATAACCTGGAACTCTGAATGCAGGTCTTAACAGGCAAGGAAGACCCAAATTTAAACTATTTTGTTTTGAAAATATACGTGTGGTTGGTCACAGACAAGCATAACAATCTTAATTTAACTGTACACAAACCTTCACTCTTATGATTTTAAATTTGCTTTACAAAAGATTTTCAATTCACAATTCATTATTTTATAAAAATAATTCCCACCAAAATCTTGAGTAATACCAGTGCACTCAGCCTAAAATCACAGCGAGGCACTTTCCATGCGGTTATTCTTTTCATACAAGAACCTTCTGCAGATTAGCCAGTCCTGATTCCATCCACCACTTTTTCTTACACCACACTTAATGTCACACAAATATCATTTCGAAAAAAACAAAGATCTCCGTCTCTGAGGACCAAATCTTGCTCACACTCATTTGAGCAGTGCCACTGATGTCAGCTATACAAAGGTAAGGTGTGAGTCTTTTATTTATTTTTACATCGTTTTGGAAGTGCTGATTTCAATGTCGTAGTCATATAGAATTGAGGTTTTCATATATAAAACACTTGCGGTGAGATTTTCAGAAGAAGTGAGCACTGGCTTAACTCTGACCTTATTGGAGCAGATCCTCAGCTGGAGTGAATTATCATAGCTCCATTGACTTCCATGGACTGATGACAATTACAGCCACTGAGGATCTGTCTCATTGAAAAATCATTGTCTTCAGGGAGAAGAGAGTTTGCCCAAAGCTGAGTACTTTTGAAAATCCCATCCTTGAAGTCAGTGGGACTTCACTTACATGATTAAGGGGAGCAGGATTTGGCCCTGAATCAGACAGAGCAGTTGAAAGGTACCTTGATAACCCTTTGCTCAACCACAGTATCCAACCATTCAATAAATGATTCCACAGTGGCATTCTTCTTTAGCAGGTCCTTCAGTTCTTGGAACACTGTAATAGAGTCATCTACCATGTAAAAAGGAAAACACATCGTTGCTCGCTCCTCTGAGTATGAGAGAAAGCCACTCACCAGTCACTGACAATTTTGTAGCATGGAAAGGAAAGGAAAGAATTAGAGCATTGAAAGAATGGAAAATTCACCAAGGAAGCAAGCATTCTTGTTTGTTAGCTTTTTGTTTTTGTTTGTTTGTTTTGTTTTTAAAAGCTCTTCCACATTGCAAATTATGGGAGACTTTAAGAAAATGGAGAATTTTCCCATAAAATAAAATTACACACTAAGATACTGACATTTTTCATTAGTTCCAGGATCTGTTCTTGGAATCATGTCTAACTCTAAATTTAATAGGACAAAGAACAGCTTTACCATACTGTAATATGGATGATCGAAACAATGGATGACTCTCAGAGTGTCTTAGGTTTCTCTGACTTCTTAGGTTCTTACAACATACAGCAAAACTAAGCTTCTAACCCTTCCAAGATTCTCCTTTTCTATAAAATGTCTCATTACCTGTCCAGTGCATTCCCAGCTAATCTCTCTTTTCTCTCATGCTAGGAGAGCAAGAACAGAAAGGAAAATAGTTTAAAAGAAAGAAAGAAAGAAAGAAAGAAAGAAAGAAAGAAAGAAAGAAAGAAAGAAAGAAAGAAAGAAAGAGCAACTAAAATGAAAATGTGACTAGATTGTGAGGCATTTTTAAGAAAAGAAAGCACAACATATACTTTGTTCAACCTTCCATGATCAAAGTAACAAAATGTAGAAGAACACAGATGCTGCTGCTCTCAATTCTGCCAGTTTTTGTCCAAAATGTTCCTTAAGTGATTAAAAAGTATCTTTTGTCACCACTTAGTATATTCAGGCACTGAGGAGAAGGTGGCTAAATCCCTTTATTCTGAGCCAATAGCTATAAGAACTGGTAAAAAAAAATAGAAAAATGATTGTGTGAAAAAATTCAAAATTTTGTAGCTGTTTCCATTATCTAGTTTTTGTGACATTGTCTAGGATATATTTACTGACATTTTTCATTTTAGAAAAAAGGCCATTTTCAACAACAACAAAAAAGTTTTTATGCAAGCAACGTAGTCCAGCTCTAGTAGCTATTAAATAAAGCTACAATTAAGTATTAAACATGCTTTTAGATCTGTTTCTTAAAACCCATAAACCCCATCTTCACTATTAAATGACTGTTAAAGAGACATTTTTCAGAAACTAATCAGCTGTGTTGACCTGTGCAGATGGTGGCTAACTTTTAAAAAGAGTTCTCATGACAATTATCAGATAACACAGATATTTTCTCAACAACCATTTAAAAAATGCCCAGCTGGGATGCCAATAACTGACACAACTGTAAAAAGAAAAGGAGTACTTGTGGCACCTTAGAGACTAACCAATTTAATGGGCATAAGCTTTCGTGAGCTACAGCTCACTTCATCGGATGCATTCAGTGGAAAATACAGTGGGGAGATTTATATACATAGAGAACATGAAACAATGTTTTCAAGACTGATATTTGCATGCAGAATTTGGTAAAAGCTTCCCTTTTTGTTGGACACATTGGGGCCATTTAATGGCTTTTTTAAAATTCTGGAGGTGAATCCTGAATTAGCATAGGGCACTCAAAACCTGTAAGTGCAAAGACATTTTCTTCAGTCCATCTTCACACAAACTAATTAAGCATAAAATACAATTTTTTTTATTTTACAAAATATCTTACCACAGACTTACATTCAGTGTAGACTTCCCCATCAGATTCCATGCTGCCTGAGACTGTGAGAAGAGCTTGAGACCCAATGCTATTCAAATCTACCTTCTCAATATCAGCCACCATGGAATTCACCACATGCTGATCAAAGAGGGCTGGTCGAGCAATCTGCAAAAGACCATAGAGTTAAATGCTAAAATCTGCACCTGTGGAAAGAACTGAATAATTTGTGGAAGAGGAAGGACCGTGCGCTCTTTCCTTCCTTTTTTCAAGGCTGAGGATTGATGTGACTTTTTCACCGATTAGATACCACCACAAGAATACAATTATTTCAACACTGACCAAATTGAACTGCCATGACTGAGTGAGAATTGATTCAAGCTCCATATTAACTAACTCTTAGCGTCCCCTTGCTTAGTTACATATACATTATAATACCTTGTTCTACTAAAGTGCCTTCCATCAGAGGCTCTCAGAGTATATTTTCAACCCCACTGTGATGTTTCTGTTCTCTTCATTTTACATATGGGAAAACTGGGGCACAGAGAAATTATATGACGTGTCCAAGGTTACACAGGAAGTCTGTGGCAGAGGCAGGAATAGCCTCCTATGTCTTAACCACAAGACAGTGTTTCCTCTGATATGGTACACCAGATAATAAGACGATGTTATTTCATAATTGTGACTGACTGCATGTTACTGGTGCAGAGCTAGCACTACTTACATGGGTAAATCACAAGTTAATCCAAAAGGTGATGAACTCACTAACCACTGCACTGAGGAAGTCATCACTGGGAGAAAGATCATTTGACATTTTCCACTTTGGGAATAAACAAATACCCTTTTATCCCACTTCATAATTTGCTTGCCAAAGCATGGAAAGATTTTCAAAGAAGACTCCTGTGGGGATTACAGTGTTGTCACCTGAAATGGTAGCAGACTCATGGGTCCAATGACTATAGCTGGTCAAAATATGGGAAAGTTTTTCATGAACCTTTCACTGTACAGTGTTTTGTAGTGATTCAAATTCTCATTCTGGTCTCCAAAGCTTACCTGAGCTAGGTGTAAGAATGATGTCTGTCGTTTCAGAGAGGAAACAAATCTTCGTGCAATAGGCAGTTTCTTATCTGCCAGGTCTTCTGGTAGATTTTCTAGAGATGAAACAACCCACTGTTCCCAGTTTTTAGCAAAAGTCCTTATATCTGCCAATAAACTACAATAAAAACAATATATTTAAAAAAGGCCAACATTATGGTAAAATATTGCATTGCATCAGTTTAAGGGGAAGAGTGTGAAAAGCCAAGGCCATCGGAGATAGCAGCAGCACAAAGACCTAGACAGACAAATAATCTGCAACAATTTTTCCCCGGGGAAAAGAACAGAGAGGCTCTACAGATAACAGATAATAGTCACATTCTTAAGGCATTGTTGGCAGGTACTTAGATATTATGATGATGGGTGTGATGCAAGAACCATAATAGTATTCTGAAAATAGTGGAAATTAAGCTTTCGTCTCACATAACAAGCATGGTCTAGTCCCTTTTGTCTTCAAAGAACCTTCACTCAACCTATCTGCCTCTCCAGCTGCTGCCCCATCTACCTTCATCCCCTTCCCTTCCCCTTCAGATTCTCTTCCCCAAACTGGCTACTTTGTGCCACCCAAGTAATACGAAGGAGCTGGAATCTGGCCTTAGCTGGCCAGCTGAGAGCTCCCCTTTCAGCTAGATGGTTTAGCTAACTGTTGGGATATATGCCATGGCACGAGAATGGCAGAGATGTACAAATGGCTACCTTTAATGCATTAACTCTAGCAGAGCTAGCAGGAGTCTGTCTACCCATGCTGCGAATCACACCTCCCAGATGTAGTGTAGACATACCTGGGGGGACTATACTCATCTGGTATAAATTAGAGCAGGCTCGAGGCTGCCATAATTAAGGCCCCGGCATTGGAGGTGGTAGAAATTGGCACCTAGAATAAGGGCCATAACTGGCTCCTTGACATCTCTCTCCTTACCACTCTCCTAAGAGCCTGGTGCAGGAGAAGATCTGTTCCACGGTGTCAATAGTGATTATGGGCCTAATCCTGAAACCCTCAGTCATGTGAGTAGTCCCACTAAAAGCTTATGCTCAAATAAATTTGTTAGTCTCTAAGGTGCCACAAGTCCTCCTTTTCTGATTTCATAGGGCCACTCACACAAATAAGGGTTTCCATCATTGGAAATTTTAAAATGGCATCATCATTCAGTCTACTTTGATTACAGCTGTAATGTGAAAAACAGCAGCAGGAACAGAGAGCAACATAGCAGTAGAGTCAGATTTTAAAATATTTTGGAAAAAATACACGCAGGTCTACATCTATACATTCCATCAGTTCAGACTGTAGCTTGCCCTGTACTGCACCATTTTAGAAAGGTACTTAAAATGTATGTTGTGACTGAGTAAAAATCTTCTAAGCTTAGAATTCTATCGTCACATCGGCTGTTTACTCCATCTCTCTTTGGAGCATTTGATTGCATAACCATTACCCAGAATATAGCATTATAGTAACTGCCAAGTACCCACCTGTCTGGCATTTCTTGCATTGTTGCAGGGATGAGTACATCTGTGAGGACCTTGAAAAAAGTAATAGAAAATTGTTTTACACCTCCATTGTCAACACATTCATACAAAGAAATTTAACTTCTGGGAAATTTAATTCCCATTGTAAGTTCCTGGAGGACTCTTCCATTTACACCTCTTTGAATCTTTCCTCAGGCCTCTTAAGGAAAAAAAATCCAGGTAACGAGAAAAGAACTGGACATTAAAATAGGGGTCTCTTTGCTTTGCTTGTTTTGGATATATTAATGTAACAGTTGAAGCTCACAGCATTGTCATGTTTTCTTATCTGCTGCCTTTATTCTGATCAAGGGAGTCACACCAAGTTAGTTATAATAATGCATTTCATAGAGGTCTGCTCCAGAAATGTCTCCAAAATTCCCCTGTTTTTGTCACACCTGAGATTATTGTTATGGAACCAACTGGTAGTGTTAAATTCAGCAATGATGACACTATGGATAGGAAGGGTGGCTTGGGGGTTACAGCGTTAGATTGGGACTCAGGAGAGCTGGGTTCAATTTCTGGCTGACACAGACTCTCTCCATAGCCTGGGGCAAGTCAGCGTGCCTCAGTGAAATGGGGCCACCGATACTTCCTTTTCCCACCCTTTGCCTCTCTTGGCTATTTACATTCTTTGGGGGCAGGGATTCTCTCTCACAATTTGTCTGTAGAGCACAGAGCCATGCTCCTATCTTAGAAATACCTTAGGTACGTATATGACCCCCATCACCGCAGTATCTGAGATAGCTCTGTAGACACTGTGACTCAGGCTGGACCTCAGGTTCTGAAGCCGAGGGAGGGGTGCTGGCTCAGAGACTTGCTGCGTAGAAGTACTCTAAATCACTTGCCTACAGTCACACAGGAAGACTGTGCTGGGGAAAAGAATTGAACTCAAGTCTCCCAAATCCTAGGCTAGTGCCCCTAAGCATTAGACCATCCTTCCTCTTGTATGGGTGGAGCCCAGAGGATTTTCAGGGTCTGGTGCAGGTCCCGGGACTCAACCTCAAGTAGGGGCTTGGTGCAGGGTGGGATTCTAGTCCCTTGGTGGAGCAATTAGGGTGAAATAGCAGTGAATATTATCCTCTCTGATGGGTTTTATTTATCTGGCACAACACAGGGTTTCTTACACGTCATATAATAAACTGAAATTTGTTTCTATGAATAATGTTAATGGTATAATAATACAATAGAATGCTAGTTTATGTTTGACAATTGTTATGCCAAGAACACCTTTAATGCTTGAAAGTGAGAATTAGGGAAAATGACATAGAAGAAATAGCAAATTCTTTAATGTGATGACGTTTTGGGGAATTCCACTATTCCAGATATTGAATTCTGCACTTTGTAGTATTTTTTCCCTTTTAGCTCAATCTTAGTTTAATTTGTAACAAATACTTATGGAGATACTGTGTTTTTAAGCAGAAAATCCATGATAAACTCAAGGCACAACATGTCCTGTATCCGGAACTGATGTTAAGTGGCACAGTCCAAGAGCAGTAATTCATATCGTTATACTAATCTCCTACACTTTTTATTGATTTTCATAATCAATTGACATGAATCTAAAATTTGCTGCTCTGTTTGCTGCTTGATATGCTTCTATGAAATCCTTTCCCTGCATTTTGTAGATTTTTTTTTTCATACTTTTATCCAGTCAAGAAATGAAAATAAATTACAATAAAAGACTCAATGCTAACTAGGCCCAAAGCTCTCCATTTGCCACAAACACTACTTTTGATAGGTTTCAGAGTAGCAGCCATGTTAGTCTGTATTTGCAAAAAGAAAAGGAGTACTTGTGGCACCTTAGAGACCAACAAATGTATTTGAGCATAAGCTATCGTGAGCTGAATGCATCCGATGAAGTGAGCTGTAGCTCACGAAAGCTTATGCTCAAATAAATTTGTTAGTCTCTAAGGTGCCACAAGTCCTCCTTTTCTTTTTACTACTTTTGATGTTTTCTGATTTGCAGTAGCCACTTCATTTAATCCACATGCAACTGTGAAACCTATCAGGAAGATAATGATAATCCTTTGTACTTATGTGATGTCTCTTATCTGAGGATTTCAAAGATCTTTACAGCTATTAATTAAATAAGGGCCACATTTTCAAAAGATCTCAGCACCCAACAGCTCCCAAACAGGTGTTTGAAAGAGGCTATTTCCATTTTATGAGTGCTAAAAAATTGAATCAGGGAGAGATCAAATGCCAAATGTTAAGGGCCTCTCTCAGGCCTGGTCTACACAAAGTTTTTAGACTGATTTAACTATTTTGGTTAGGGGAGTGATTTTTTTTTTTTTTGGCCAAAAAAGTAAAATCAATACAATTCCTAATATGGATATCAAAATACAGGTATAAAGGTTTTTATCCATGTCCTACTCAGCCAATGAAGTTACTGTGTATTTCCTTGAGTAAAACCTGAGTAAGAACCTCAGGATTCGGTCCTACGTGACCTACTCAAGAGCACACAGCAAGTAGGTGGCAGAGGAGAGAATAAAGTCAGTACAAATTCTGCTCGGACACCAACTTTATGCTAATGATTATAGTGAAGTTGCTGCTGATATACAGAGGTGTGAGGGAGAGGAGTCAGGCCTCAGGAATCTTGTTCTAACTTCTGCACTATATTTTTACTCAATAACCTCCTGTTAAATAGCTGTAGATTGACCCCGATTATCCACAAAACTGAATGCTTAACTCACCTTGTAGAGTACTGAGTCGCAAACACAGAAGATGTCAATGATAACAGGATTTTCGAGCAGGGGAAGAAGGTGGTCAGGCATTCCTTGCCAAAAATGTAATAAGAAATGCTGGATCTGGGGAGGGGAAACAAAACACAGAGACAAATAATGTCTTTTCTGCTACCTATGCATATATAACCAAGAATGCGTATTCAAACAGCCTCACCTCTTCAAAGTTCCCATTAATTGCATTGTCAAGGACACACTGACAGTGTGTTTTGTACATCATGATAAGGGTATCTACCTGTTTTGGAAGAGAGAAAGATTAAATAGGATCTCTTACCACTCTCCGTTAGTGCTGTGATGAAGTAGGTTTCGGCTGTCTTTTGCTAGCATTGAAGTACAGTATATCAACCTTCTAGCATAAAAGGAGTGAAAGTGCATGACCTTCAGAAAACAGTAGGTACAGCTTTAGAATGGGTAACAATGAAAGAGGCACCCATCTCTAGTTCTGCATCAACGCTTTTAAGGTCCAATCCTGTTTCAGACCTGCAGAATATATTTTGAAAGTTTACATAGGCAGTGGCCAGTTTATCCAAGTTAGGTGGTGAAGTATACCCACATATTTGAAAGTAGGATTAATTCCCAAGAGTAGTACAAGTTAATCATTAGGCTACTATAGGCGTCTATGAGTGTTTTGAAACATCATTGGGTGGACAAATGGGGAAAAAAGCTGTCAGTCACTGGGTCAAAGTTTAATCATCACCTTTCAAGAGCAAAGCTTTAAAGAGCAGAATTTTTCTTTCATCTCATGCAGCTGATTCATCTCTAGTGCATTGCTCCTTGATTTTAATGGGATTGCAGAGGTGTGACTGACAAAGGAATTTGTCCCAGTGTCTGAAAAATGGGTAATATTCCTAACTAGAGTTGTGCAAAACATTTCCAAAGAAGCCTGACATTAGACAAAACTTACCTGATCATCCAGATTCAGAGAAAGTTTGCTATGGTTTGTGAAACTTTCCAACATACCAAGGCCCAGATTAAACTCAGGTTTGCATGGTTTCTGCTAGGGCTCTCAATTAATTGCAGTTAACTCATGTGATTAATTAAAAAAAATTAATCGCAATTAAAAAAATTAATTGTGATTAATCACGCTGTTAAACAATAGAATACCAATTAAAATTTATTAAATATTTTGGATGTTTTTCTACATTTTCAACTATATCGATTTCAATTACAACACACAATTAAGATGAGCTATTATCAGCAGGAAAAAAAACCTTTTGTAGTGATAATCAGGATGGCCCATTTCCAACAGTTGACAAGAAGGTGTGAGTAACAGTGGGGGGGAGGGGGAAATAGTTTTACTTTGTGTAATGACCCATCCACTCCCAGTCTTCATTCAAGCCTAATTTAATGGTGTCCAGTTTGCAAATTAATTCCAATTCAGCAGTCTCTCCTTGGAGTCTGTTTTTGAAGTTTTTTTGTTGTAATATTGTGACTTTTAGGTCTGTAATCAAGTGACCAGGGAGATTGAAGTGTTCTCCGACTGGTTTTTGAATGTTATAATTCTTGACATCTGATTTGTATCCATTTATTCTTTTACGTAGAGACTGTCCAGTTTGTAAGTTGCACATCATATGCCAACAGTGCCCCTCTGCCATGTACATTGAAGTGGGTTTTAGCCCACAAAAGCTTATGCTCAAATAAATTTGTTAGTCTCTAAGGTGCCACAAGTACTCCTCCTTCTTTTTACAGAATACAAAGTGTACAGTGCTCACTTTATGTTATTTTTTATTATAAATATTTCCACTGTAAAATGATAAACAAAAGAAACAGTATTTTTCAATTCACCTCATACAAGTATTGTAGTGCAATCTCTTTATCGTGAAAGTGCAACTTACAAATGTAGGGGTTTTTTGTTACATAACTGCACTCAAAAACAAAACAATGTAAAATTTTAGAGCCTACAAGTCCACTCAGTCCTACTTCTTGTTCAGCCAATCGCTAAACGAAACAAGTTTGTTTACATTTACGGGAGATAATGCTGCCCACTTCTTATTTACAATGTCACCTGAAAGTGAGGACACGCTTCCATGCTGATGATGCTCGTTAAAAAAACAATGCGCTAATTAAATTTGTGACTGAACTCTTTGGGGGAGAATTGTAAGTTTCCTGCTCCATTTTACCCTCATTCCGCCATATATTTCATGTTATAGCAGTCTCAGATGATGACCCAGCAAATGTTGTTTGATTTAAAAAAACTTTCACAGCAGATTTGACAAAACGCAACGAAGGTACCAATGTGAGATTTCTAAAGATAGCTACAGCACCTGACCCAAGCTTTAAGAATCTAAAGTGTCATCCAAAATCTGAGAGGGATGGGGTGTGGAGCATGCTTTCAGAAGTCTTAAAAGGGCAACATTTTGATGCAGAAACTACAGAACCCAAATCACCTAAAAAGAAAATCAACCTTCTGCTGGTGGCATCTGACTCAGATGATGAAAATGAACATGCATTGGTCTGCCCTGCTTTGGATTGTTACCGAGCAGCACCCGTCATCAGCATGGACGCATGTCCTCTGGAATGGTGGTTGAAGCATGAAGGGACATAGAATCTTTAGTGCATCTGGCACGTAAATATCTTGCAACGCCAGTTACAAGAGTGCCATGCAAAAGCCTGTTTTCACTTTCAGGTGATATTGTAAACAAGAAGCAGATATTATCTCCTACAAATGTAACCAAACTTGTTTGTCTGCGCGATTGGCTGAAGTAGGACTGAGTGGACTTGTGGGCTCTAAAGTTTTACATTGTTTTATTTTTGAATGCTGTTTTTTTTGTACATAATTCTACATTTGTAAGTTCAACTTTCATGATAAAGAGATTGTACTACAGTACTTATATTAGGTGAATTAAAATATACTATTTCTTTTGTGTTTTACAGTGCAAATATTTGTAATAAAAAATAAATATAAAGTGAGCACTTTACACTTTGCATTCTGTGTTGTAATTGAAATAAATATATTTGAAAATGTAGAAAACATCCAAAATATTTAAATAAATAATATTCTATTATTGTTTAACAGTGCGATTAATCATGATTAATTTTTCCTATCACGTAATTAATCATGATTAATTTTTTTAATCACTTGAGAGCCCTAGTTTCTGCATGTTTTTGGTGTAGGGAAAAGAGGGGAATGTGCCAAGAGAAACAAAAATAAAAGATGTGTACAGATCACGGTGTGAAATGAACCTGCTGATTTTCACACAGCTACAATAATGACTACAACTGTGTGGAAAATGGAGGATGAAAGGGAGAGTCAACAATGTATTCATGGAACTTTTGGTAGAAATTTATAATTTTGATAATTTTTCATCAAAAAAACCAACTTTGGAAAATTTCAACTCACTTTAGTTGTAACATCTAATTCCAGCTTCTACACTTTCAGAACCTCCATTCACTTAAGTTTCTTAGCATTTTAACTATCTATCTGTGTAGGTTTTTCTAGCAGCTCCCATCACCATGGTATCTGAGGTGCTTCTGGGCATTTCCTAGAAAGGACGATCCTATTCTATCCTTTTCAGATACTATTTGAGCTCTGTTCTGGACCTGTAAACGTTTTCATAGATTTCCAGCTGTTTTGGATGCAATATTTGTTCCCTCCCTGTCTCCAAGAGTCAGACTATGGTGCAGCAATCAGGAAGTTTCTGTCAATACAGCCAAAACAGGGCCCATGGCTTCAGCACAGGTTTTGATGTGGTTATTACCTGGCTAGCTCCATCTGCAGAGGCTGAACTATCCTGTATTACAGCTCATTTTAACCACAACTGAGAGCCTGTCTACATAAGAAGTTTTATTTGGTTTAACTTAAATTGATTTAAATTCTCAATACCTTGGGTGGCGGGTATCATAGGCTGGGGGAGGCTGTGCCTCCCCAAACAGCCAGGCATAGCCCCACCCATGCTCCGCCCCCAGTCCCCCTCCTGTTTGTCGCTCTGCGAGGCGGCTCTTCCCATGTGCTGCGCGGCTGGTGCTGGGGCCACGCCACTTCCGGTGCTCCGGGGGCTGGGTGCACTAGCCTGGGGCGGGGGCCAGCGGCTGCGGGTGCAGGCTCTGGGCTCCTGCGGGGGGAGGGGTGTGGAATGGGTGGGGTTGGGGGCTAGCCTCCCCAGGCCAGCAGTTCACATGCTGCCCATGCTCAATACAACTTCCCAACTGTAGCAAATATATTTTTCTTTAGCCACAAAAGCAGCATGGAAGCTTCTGTTTTGTTGTTGCCCTGAAGGGAGTCAAAGTGGGGCAGCAACAGCAGGTCAGAAGGAGCAGGCCAGTTGAGTATGCCAGGCACCCCCTGCTGCCCTCAGACACTGCTGTTACAGGAGTGGTCTATAAATGAGAGACGTCTATCCATATGTAGATAGTTAGCTAATGGATTATATGCTAGTAGGTGATGCTCAACAATATATAGCATGGATTTTGTAGAGGACCAATGAAACTTGTTGTGCACTGCAAATGGCTTCTTACATGTAGCTCTTCATAACAGAGGCACAAGGGCTTCCAAGGCCTTCACTCCTTTCACTCTTTCAGAACAAGTAGGCATGAGCCCACCAGCTCCTCCCCTGATGGGATGGCTCAGAAGGGGGACGGGCAGCACTGGAACACCTGGTCAGTGGCCATTAGGGACTCAGAAAGCCTTCAGAGACCTCTAATCTTAGTACAGCAGCCACCAACTTGGCCAACACTGAGGACTGAAGCAGCAAATTTCAGAGTTTACAGCTTGCGCTAAAGATCTAAGCTATGCAGTTCAGGGCCCTTTTAATGGATTCATATCCTACATGGATCAGACACATAACACATGTACTAACCTCTGGGTTATGTAAGCAGAACTGTTTATTGGATGGTTAAAGTGCAAGCGGGAATGGAGTAATATTGTGTATTTACTTATAATATTCACAATTTATAATGTACACTGTGTTGTTCAGTTACATACATCATCCATACAGCAACAATACCATCGGACTTATGTAACTGAGCAACGCAGCACAGACTTCCCATGCTACAGTCAAATACGCAATTCAAACAATATTGTGACCAAGAATTATTTGCTACAAAATTCATGAATAATTTCAAATAATCAGCACACATGGTATTTTGTGATTTGTTCATAGACAGTTGATGAAGAGGGGAGGTGGGGAAAAGTAAATTTCATCTAATTATTTGTTGTGAATTATTTGCTCCAATCTAATCAGTAAAAACTGACTTTAAAATCCAAAGGCATTTGGAATGAATACAGCTCCCAACTATTTGTTTGTTTTGCCCTCCCCTTGTTACATACCATCAGTTCGTAAAATACTAAGTCAGTTAATAGGTAAATAATTCAACCACCTTGCCAATGGTGAACCAGTTAATCGACATTAGTAAAGGTTTGCCCCTTCTATAAATCAGTCAACTCTGTTTGATTGTGGACATTTCTGGCTCTTTCATGTCAATATTGTGATCCTCAAAGGCTGAGTGAGATATGGAGAAAAGTTCTCTGACAGTTTTTGGTCTGCAAGTCAAGAAAGAAGCATCTCCCATTTTACCTTTTCTTTAGAAATGCACCCTTGAAGAACAAGGTGTTGAGCACTGGGGAACTCTGGAAGAAGTGTTCCAGTTTTGGAACTAAGAGAGTATTTCCTAGTGAAGCCACCCTGAAATGTGTAAAAATACAGTAAAATTAGAAATATTTAATACTGCCAATACCACCACCAATTAGTATTTAACTGATGTTATATCTTATGAGACTCCCAAAGGTTCCAAAACTTTGGTTAAATTCAGATAATACTTCCAAAATCTGAAGGTTTCAAAACTTAGGTCACTATTCAGTAAGATACTTAAGCATGTGCCTAAATTTAAGCACCATCGACATTTGCTTTCACAGTCGTACAAACCTGGAATCACTCCACTGACTTCATGGAATTCTATTGGCTTCAAAGAATTGATTCCCGATTTATAAGTGAAAGCAGACTATAATCTCTTGTGTTTAAATGGACATACATAAAACATACACAAAGCTTTGTAAAACCAGGTGATCACATTGGGCCAAATTCATCTTTGGTGCAACTCCATTGACTTTAACTGAGTTATATCAGAGATTAATTAGACACATTTTTTTTCTGGAAGGGACCCTTTAGAGAGTATGGGCCCAATCCAGTGCTTAATTTGTTCCATGGCTTGCCAGGGGGGAGCCCTGGCACCTCTAGGTTTGGCAGTTCGTAGCCCCAGCACTTTTGAGCTTGCTGCATCAGTTTGAATGCAAAAAAATTGCTTGATCCCCGGCACCTCTTCCATTACAAATTAAGCACTGGCCCAATCCTATTCCATTGAAACAAGTGGGAGTTTTCACAGTGAGACTCAAATTGCCTCCTGAAACACTAATAAGACTGTAAACACCATGCCCTTTTCTTCTGTGCACACTGGCTGGATAAGTGAAAGAGCACCTCTGCTGGTTGCTCATTTCGGAGGTAAGCTCCCATTCATTTATAAAGGTTCCCAGAACAGTCTAAGCCCTGGTCCACACTAGGACTTTAGGTCGAATTTAGCAGCGTTAAATCGATGTAAACCTGCACCTGTCCACACAAGGAAGCCCTTTATTTCGACTTAAAGGGCTCTTAAAATCAATTTCCTTACTCCACCCCTGACAAGTGGATTAGCGCTTAAATCGGCCTTGCCGGGTCGAATTTGGGGTACTGTGGACACAATTCGATGGTATTGGCCTCCGGGAGCTATCCCAGAGTGCTCCATTGTGACCGCAATGGACAGCACTCTCAACTCAGATGCACAATTGTTTGCCGTTGCTCTGACGCAGGGAGGGGCAACTGACGACATGGCTTGCAGGGTTGGCTTCAGGGAGCTAAAATCAACAAAGGGGGTGGCTTTACATCAAGGAGTATTTCAGGCAGGACTTCACGGAGGGTTCCAATAAGAAATGGTGCACCTAAGTTATTGTTCTTGTTGGAACAAGGAGGTTAGTCTGGCCTCTGATTGATACATGGCTAGATTTACCTCACTGCACCTTCTCTGTGGGTGACTACAGTGTGACCTAGAGTAATGAGTCCCCTAGACAAGGGAGAGGGGGAAGCAAATGAGTACAAAACAAATCTGGTCTATTTCTCGTTTTGATCCACTCCATCTATCTTTTACATCTTTGGCTGGCAGCAGACGGTGCAGAAGGACTGCATGCCATCCACATCTCATGGCTGCTCGGCAGAAGATGGTACAATACGACTGCTAGCCATCCTCATCTCTTGCCTGCCCGGCAGAAGATGGTACAATATGACTGCTAGCCATCCTCATCTCTTGCCTGCCTGGCAGAAGATGGTACAATACGACTGCTAGCCATCCTCATCTCTTGCCTGCCCGGCAGAAGATGGTACAGTACGACTGCTAGCAATCCGTATCGCCTGCCTGCTCACCATAAGACGGTTCAATAGGACTGACTGCAGGACTAAAGAGAATGACCTGGTCAAGTCACTCCAAATTTAGTCCCTGCGCCCATGTCTGCCCAGGCGCTCCTGGCTGACGTGGCCAGGAGCACCTCGGACATGACGATGACAGCTACCAGTCATATTGCACCATCTGCTGCCACAAGGCAATGGGTTGCTGCTACTGTGTAGCAATGCAGTACCGCGTCTGCCAGCACCCAAGAGACATACGGTGACGGTTACCTGAGCGGGCTCCATGCTTGCCGTGGTATGGCATCTGCACAGGTAACTCAGGAAAAAAGACGCGAAACGATTGTCTGCCCTTGCTTTCACGGAGGGAGGGAGGGAACGGGGGCCTGATGATATGTACCCAGAACCACCCGCGACAATGTTTTAGCCCCATCAGGCATTGGGATCTCAACCCAGAATTCCAATGGGCAGCGGAGATTGCGGGAACTGTGGCATAGCCACCCACAGTGCAACGCTCCGGAAGTCGATGCTTGCCTCGGTACTGTGGAAGCACTCCGCCGAGTTAATGCACTTAATGCACTTAGAGCATTTTCTGTGGGGACACACACACTCGAATGTATAAAACCGATTTCTAAAAAACCGACTTCTATAAATTCGACCTAATTCCGTAGTGTAGACATACCCTAACCTTCATACACGTGATTCCCATTCATTCACTCTCAGGAGCTGAACTAAGCTCTGTGCCTTGCTGCTTTCTCACACCTAAAGGAGTTGTCCCTCATTCAAATGGCAGTGGCCTGTCATTTTGGCTCAATCCCTGCTGAAGATAGTGATGCCTGGAGGGGTGTGTAACCACAGTTCATTACAAATGTACAGCAATACTATGCAACAATTCCAGAGCCCAGCACTGAAGTCCCTAGTTTTGCCTGACTGAGGTCTCCCGGACTGTGCGTAAGGGCAGGAAGTGAAAAATAAAATCATGCCAGGGATAGTACGGAGAGGCAAAACACACTTAACCAAGCTGCAATTTGGCCAGGACACTAAGGTCAACTCTCTCTTACCAAAAAAAAAAAAGAAATGCTGTGGGATTGTTGATAAGCACAAGTGGTCGTGATGTCAGGCTTACATCTCCTTGGAAGATAGTATTCTGAGAAGCACCAGGCCGCCAATTACCCTGGGGGCACACTGGTTCAGTACTAACTCAGAGGGAAAAATGCCTCCCTTCTGGGCCAACAGTACCACTTTCTGCAGTTCCTAGATGTTCCCTACAGAGCTCCCATTCAACCGGGGCCCAAATTAATCTTGTAAGCCCCTGGCAGGATCACAGCCAAAGGTAACACAGGTGCTGGCTATACCTCGAGAGGAAAACTTTCAGGGCTAGAACTGTGGCCCCAAACACTGATGCTAGCCTTTCCTTTTCAGAGCAACGGCAGGTGCAGATGATGAAATAATGACAAGCCTGCATGTTCAGATACTAACTGAATGATAAAACGACAAATCAACGCTTCACTAGTTTGCTGACTTTATAATTCCCACAAAAACCTGGCTGCCTCAGCCCACTTCTCAGCAAAGACTGAACAGTAGCACCCTGTATAATGTGAGGTATGACGTTACTAAGACTTCCTAAGCTTTACAACATATACCACAGTGCACTATGAAATATCGTGAGGAAAATGAAATGATAGTGGTCAAGATAAATGGACAGAGTACATTCTGTGATGCTCTCCTGCCTTGTTGAATTGTGTTTGCTCACACAGGATTACATTTACCCTAGGCAGGCTGCCTGCACAAGTCCCTGTGTTCCATCTCTGCCTCACTTAGTCCTCAGTGCACAGAGCCTTGCACCGGCCTTCTGCAATGACAGGAATTTCACCTTTATGAATCCACTCATTCTGAATGGGTTTCCTCAGTTACTACTGGGTTGGATTCAGCCCGGGTACTGGGCCAGCCACATTTAAACCCTGATTTGAGAATGTAAGTGGTACTTAAATTGGCCTTGTTCTAGCCCTCTGCATATGGGTGAGTTTCACTCTAGCGTGAATTACCAAGTTTAATGCGTGTACATCAACATAGTGCAAAGAAATACAGTAAAGTGTGTAATTCTGTGGCCACTGAAGCAGATGTAAGGATTTCAACAATCTGAGTCAGCCTCAAATTAAATGAATTCAGAATACCAAGAACTGAAGCTAGGTGTTGTCCCCCATTTATTTGCCCTATTTTTTAATCTTTTGACTTACATTCTTACACTGATCTGTTTCGTCTGAGGCTGTGTATTTGCATTTGGAATACCTTAAATTCAGATTTGAACGAACACTTCAGACTTCCAAGCAGTCTTTACTTTGTCATTAAAAAAACCAAAACAGGAAGCAAGGAATGACAGACATGTGCTATCTGAACAGCACCTTTCCTGTCCCACCGACCCATTCAAACACAGGGAAAGAGCTCAATGAAAGAAATGATAGAAGTTTAAATTCTGTATTGTCTTAAACATTAGACAGTTAAAACACTGTTTTTAGCCAATATTTCTGCAGTTCTTCAATTGCCTATCAGCATCCAGAGTTGTTTTTTTTAATCGATAACAGGAGCAATCCGGGTGCCTTTATTACGCAATTACCCATTAAATGTATTAAAAGCTTTGATTAAAAGAAATTAGTGCATAAACGTTTTTTTAAAGAAAAAACATTTGCACCATTTCATTGTGCTAATGGACTTATATGACTGTATCCCACTTCTAGGTTTGATATTTTAACCCATTGCCACCTGCCCTTTCCATTCTAATGCCATCTGTTTCTAATGGCTATTTAACATTAAGATAATGACAGCAATATTATCAGCCTAATTAACCATGCAGACTCTAATGGCACACTAACTGGTTTAGATAAAAGAGTTTCTGATATCCCCTCATACAGAAAAAATACTAAAAAATGTGATAAAACATACCAGAGGTAAACAATGTGCCTGGCATTCAATGTTCATCCAAGTTTCATTTAGTCTGTACCTATAAGATTTTAAAATCTTTTCAATGTTTCTGTGTTGCTGGTGAGAGTGACGTCTCATGCAATCGTAAATCCTTTCTGCGAAAACTAATTGGACAAATTGCCTAGGGAGGCTGTAGAGTCTCCATCACTGGAGATTTTTAAGAACAGGTTAGACAAACACCTGCCAGGGATGGTCTAGTACTTAGTCCTGCCTCAGTACAGGGGACTGGACTAGACGACCTCTCGAGGTCCCTTCTAGTCCTACATTTCTATGATTCTATGGTATATTCAAGGCAGTGAGTAGGTATATAGTTTAATGTAAGGAGAGTTTAAAAATGTTCACTAAATCCTGTCTGGTCACATTCATTTTAGTTTTGTTTTGAAACTTGACTGCATTGTCTCAGACACACAGGGCTAGACTATAGAACCCTTATATTGAGAACCCTTACTCACAAGTGTAATCTCATTAACTTCATTGGGATTACTCTTGGGAGCACATTCTTAGCAGCCTGGCTAAAGGTTGCACAATCTACCCTATAATGTACTGTTTCAATTTTCAAGCAAACTGGGGGTTGGGGGAACCACTCCCTATTCAATAGTACTACTATGAATAATGGGACTACAAGTAAGAGAAAAAAGGGCACAGTGCTTACCTCATTCTTCAGCTTGCTTCCAGAAAACCTTTGAAAACAAATAGATTGTATTAGTACATCAAAATTGAGCATTGTGGTTATTTTAATTAAACATCCACAACAACAGCTTCTCCCCCACACACTGCACTGGATGGGAAAATGATCCTGGTAAGCCTGAAAAATAAACATATCTGGGCAATTAGCTCTATTCCACAACTTCTACTGGCCTCCAAGCTCCTGAGAACATCATTAAAGCCACGAGGGACCGTCTTTTAAAAGTGACGACTTTAGGGCAGTGACCAAACAGAAAATTCTAAGACCCAGGTTCCATTCAGACTTCAAACCTGTGTCAGAACCTCACAAAAGTCTGTAAATCAGGGAAGCATTGGACCCCAAATCTAGAATATTTTAGAACTGCCCTAGCAGAGAATAAGACTAATAAAAAATAAATGAAAGACAAAAGAGTTTAGACTTTCCCCTTTGAGAAGAAACAGCATAAAATAGTGTTTGCCAGAAACTTTCCTAGAACTCAGAATAGTTTCAATCCAAGAGGGATGTATCTCGGATGGAAAAAAATCATTAATAACTGTCAGGAATATAAAACAGTATAGACAGCATTCTGTGTACTATGGGCCTGGTCCAATGGCCACAGAAGTCAGTGGAAAGACTCCCATTGGCTTCATTGGATGTCAAAGCAAGCCCTAGGTGCAGTCACTAGAAAACTCAAGTTGAATCAGATCTACTACGTTAGGTAATCGCGGGTGGCAAGGTTCTACAAGGATCTGCACAATGATGAAAACAAGTCAGTTGTGGTTTGTTTAATTAATAGAATTCTCCCTTATTTTAGCTGCAAGGTGATAAGATTACAACGACAACATGAAGTTTTATAGTGACATGGGGCGATATTGTGGTTTCAAGCCATTGAGATGTGTTGGGGACAGGGAGTGGAGCTGACATGGCCAGAGGTGACCCAAGGCATTCTGCCTGCACAGGCCAGACACAGGGAAAATGGCTCAGGGGAATGCCAGTTACTGTCTTGGAAAGGGGAAATGTGTGTTCCTTCCAAACCTCATGTCTCCTTCCAAACCTCATGCCGATACCAGAAGGCAAGCAGAGAGGGCAGGTGGGTAGAAGAACTCCATTGCCTACAGAGATGGAGCTAGGGGCCTCACAGCTAGATGTGTATTGTGGACAGAGCTGCAAGGGGAGATCACCAATTCAGCATATAACTTGGGCAGCTTTTGCTGGGTGTGTTCCTCCAAAGCCTCAGTCACAAGCTAAAGCTGTTCTTCCCACAGTACTATTGGTAGGAGTGTGCTACGCTTCCTCCTTTGAAGGACAGGGATGGGGGAGGCAGATTTTTAAAAGTATTTAAGCACCTAAAGATGCAGAAAGGTGCTTAGTGGGGTTTTCAAAAGTGCCGAGGCACTTCAGTCTCATGAAATCAATAGTTGTTAAATACCTGGGAGTGCTGGAAAATCTCACTAGACACCTATCTGCACCGTTAGGCACCTAACTCCTTTGAAAATCTGGCCCTAGGTACTTTTGCATTAACTCCACTTTCTTTCACTCAGCAGCACTGGAGCTTGTAAGGCCACAGGCTTGAACCGAATGGTGCATGGCTCTGGCTGAGATACTGCCCAGGGCCATTAGTGATATGGTCCCCTTTGTGCCTCTCACTCAATTAAATGAGCAATTTGTTCAAGATAATTCTGCATTACAAAATAATCTCATCTACAAATGTGCCAAAAACACCCCCGCAACCCTTGATAAATACTGGCTAAGGAAATGGCAGGTTCAGATTATTATACCCAGCAACTGCAGGATCCCCCCTTTCTTTAGATGACCAATGCCAACATTAGCCTCATGTTTTCTGTTGTGCCCCATTTCTTATGCCAGGGACCATGGGCGATAACCTGAAGCGGCCAGCAGCTGAATTTTCTATATATGCCTATGAACTCATTTATCCTTTTCCTTTAACACAGTCCCACTCATGGCTGTATTTTCATCGACAATGAAAGCCTTCATTCAAGCCATATGTGAACAGAGACATTTGTTTTATGAACTATTAATCTTTGTTTGGTAAACCAACATGCAGCTATCATAATTTATTGATCTTGCTAGCTGTCCCTTAAATAAATATAATTAGAGCTTCTGGTTTAGGTTTCAGCTTGATATTTGCCAGTAAAAGAATCAGTAAATATTAATCTACACTGAAACCAGCCCTCCTGCCCACAGGTGCCAACTTCACACCATTCCCTGGCAGTTTCACAATGGTGAGCTGCATTGGGTGGCAAATGGAGAAGACTGCCACACAAATACATATGAGCAAAATGCTCTGAAAACTGAGCCTCACTACTCTAAATTTAGTGGGCTAGTGTAAATGGTGTAAATGGCATAGCTCCCTTGACTTCAGTGGAGGTAAGCTGAATTACACCAGCTGGCCCATTGTGTCCAAAAATTTAACTCTGGATTTTTGGGAGTAAATTACTGCCCCAAACTAGGAGCATTAAAACCATGAGAGAACAATATTACTGGTGCCTCTATACTACAGTGATAGGTGTCCTGTGACTACCTTACATAGATAGATGAGATTAAAATTAGATCATCGCTGAACATCATTCCAAAATACAGTGGCAGAGACTTAGTCTCAGTAGTCATGTTACTGTACCTTGTCAACCCTTTTCCAGAATACACAGAGTGGTAATACGCGCTGCTTTCTTTAATGCCAATTCCATAGTAATGATACCTATGAAAAAGAAAAGGGACACACATAAAGATCTACAGGGAACTAAACTGGTGCTTAATTCAACTTTTCCTTAGACTCTATTTTAATTAAAGTAATGTTTCAAGTCACTGGGACAGATCCTGGTCCCACTGAAGGCAATGGGAATATTGTCTGGATGCTCCTCTTAGGCCTTGTCCACCCACAGTGCGTGCATTGATTCACTAGTTAAATCAGTGCAACTCCCTTCACGTGGACACTCTTGACATAACACATAGTTGCACTGGTTTAAGTAATTTGGTTTAGAATCACAACTTTTAGTTAAACTGGTCAACTTTGTGTGTAGACCAGGCCTAAATTGCATTGGCATAACCCCTCCAAACTCAGTGGAGTTGCATCAGCTTAATTGAGGGGAAAATTTAGATTAAGTCCCCTTTGTATATTTCAAACATAAACAATAAAAGTAGTAATGTGTTTAAAAATGACTCATTAGTGTCACATTAGTATCACTTACATCAACATCATTTCCTCATCTATAAAAGCTAATAGCTTACTTTTTTATAGCACTGTTCATCCAGAAGGATGCCAAAGTTATAACCTGGTTTATAAACTCTCTATATTAACCCCTTCATCCCTGATATTTTAAAAAGTGTTCAGTAAGGAAGGAGATACCTAGAGGGAGGGAGAATTAGGTGGAGAAATTCTTAAGGGCTAGAGGTGGGCAATTGCAAGATCCCTGATGGACAGAAGAAGTGAGGTGGAGAGAAGAAGAATAACCACCTCAGGGTGATTTGTCGCATCACATGGCACATTGATAACTAGATTGGAAAAACTCTAGTAAATGTATGAGATGAAACAATCCTGCACTGGCAGGAAGGCTAGATGGTCACAGATGTCTAGATTCAATAGTCCTGATTCTGGGTGGGGGTATAAAATGGGGTTGTGTCTTCTGATTCTCCAATGTCCCAATGTCCCTATGCTCTGGTAGAATCTGGAGAGTCACTGGGTAAGTGGTGGTGAGAAAGGGTTGGGGCAGGAGGCCAGCCCCCGCTTTTCCCTATATATTGTCTTGCCGGTCTTCCTGTAGTTTAGCTCAATCTGAAGGGCTTAGCTCAGCCTGAGACCACATAGGCTCCTGGAAACTTCTACTTCTACTTTTCAAAGTACGAAAGTCACTTTTAAAGTAAAAAGTAAAAGCACCATAAAGTATCATATGGAGGAGAAGAGGAAGAGAACCATGTGCTTTGGAAGTGATCCAGCATTGCATTATTAGTCTTGGAAGGTGAAAGAGACCTTAATTTTATGGCATCAAAGAGGTTTTAAATGAAACCTTTTCAAGAAAAGCATTGACTTTTCAGTCTGTGCATCAGAGCTAGATCATCATTTCCCAGTGTAACAAAAGAACTCAGTGTAAACAATTATCATGGTGAAAATCATTGTTGAACCTGTTGCTACCAATATAAGCCTCAATGTGTTGGAATAGATACAATTACTAATGAAATACTTGCTCCCTATGATGCTACGGGTGATCCTAATCTACCAATGGACAGTATATCTATATCAAATTGCTGTGCTCTGCAACCAAATTTGGGCCCTGATCTAGTATGATACTTAAGTGTATGCTTATTTTAAGCACATGACTAGTCCTGCTGACTTCAATGAGACAAGTGTTTTGTAGAAGAGCTATCTCCACAAAGTGGTATTTCTTTGATGATGTCTCTGAACAAGTTGATAAGCAATCCCAACTCAGCACTGTTGTTCCTTTTAGCATAACATTGTATCCTCACTGTTTTCTCTCCTGAGGGAGAAGGAAGGCTAGGAATGGTAAAAGATGAAGGGTTTTATATTTTCAAAGCTGACATGGGGATTTAGATACAACTCCCATGAAAAGCAATTTTGATGAGAGTTATGTGTCTAAATTATCTGGTTGGCTTTGCAGATCCCAACTGAAGTACTACTTCTGCTGATGGCCGGCTTTGCTGTCAGCAGTCAAGGTTTTATAGCTAAGGAAATGTGATGCTAAGTGGTCATTGCTAAACACAGTACTGCTTTCATTGTTTACCTGAAATTTATGAGTAAAGGTAACTCCACCAAAACACCGTGATACCCACTGACCCTTGAGAAGAGCAAGATTTTGTCACCTACATTTTCACCATGTCCCTTGGTTCTTTGCCATGAGTATATTAGTTTGAGGATCGGTGACGTGACTAAGTACACATGAGCAGGCCAATTTTAAAGATGCATTAACATAGCTCCGAACTATGTCCACCTGCTTGAATCATTCCATTATTTGTGACCAATAGTTGCTCTGTAAAATCATATCAACAGGTGGTTTAGGCCCTAAATAACACCAATCAATGTCATAATGCTAAAGGATCTTACCTCCATAGCATAAACTTCTGTATCTGATCTCTCTTATGGATAGAAGTCATGAAGTTTCTTTCAGCCATTGTATTCCATATATTCTATATTAAAGAGTTGGGCTTGAACCAAACTTCTGGATCTGAACATTCCTGACATTTGGCAAAGTTCAGATGCAAACTTTTCACTCTGAGCTCATGGACATTTTTCTCCCATTGCATTGAAACTATTTTAGATGAGATTTAAGAGTGTTTGATATGAAATGTGTGAGAATATGTTCTAAAAAAATCAAACTTTTATCATTTAACAATTAAATATCAAGAGTTGTACATTAGATTAGAGAAAATATTATACAGAGCTATCACCCGTATTTAAAAAATGTTAAGTGCATTATAATATATGCACCATTGATTTGCTCATTTGCACTCTGTCACTAAAGCAACTTCTCAGATCTTATTCTAATATCTGAAATCTCTCAGCAGCTTCAAACACTTGCCATTTTTCAAACTAACCTCCTACAAAATAGTTCTTCTTTCCCAACAAATGTAGAATTCTAATTCATTATATAAAATATACAACTGCATAGCTATATATTTACTATATTGTATATGATTATTAGGAATAAAATAAGATCCATGATCGTGAAGGATTTATTTCTTGATTTTCTCAACAGAACTATAAAAAGAAACAGACTAAACTGCTTTCCTTTTTTATTTCATTGGTCTGCTGTAACATATGTTCCTGTGCAACTAGTAGCCCTGATTTTAGCTTACACTGACACAAATGATGGCTGATAAGGAAATGATAGGATTAAGCTGTTCAGGGACTTGCAATAACTTGTTATCACGAGGCCAGCTGCCATATCAGTTTTATTAACCCACTAAATCACTCCTAATAAATAAGATAATAGTTTTCAGACATGATGGATAAAAGCTAAGATTTAACCGATCAAAGTCTACAAAGAAATTAAAATGTAACTTGAGCTCAAACACAATCTCCTGTGTGTCTACTCTACCCAGTATGTACATTTTCCTGAGTAGCTGTCACAGGTAATTCACAGATCATGGTGATTATTGTTTATTATTTCTATTCTGGGAGCGGCCACATTATGCTTGGCATTGTCCAAACACACAAGAGGACACAGTCCCTGCCCCAAAGAGTTTACAGACGATTATATACTAATCTGAGACAGTGTTTACAGCCTTTTCTATAGTGGGTCTCCTCCCATCTAGCTGGGATCTAGCCAGGATCCCCATCCCTTCAGCAATATGGGAAATACAGGGTAGTCATGACGAGAGCTGATTGAAGCCTGCTCTACAGTGAAACATGCTCTTTCATCTAAGCCAAAAAGTTCTGGTTTCAACAAAGATTTCATCAAAATGGGGTTTGGAATCCAGGAAGAGAAAGAAAGATTCTTACACCCTAAAGGGCAGTTAGGGCACTGTCCTGGGATATGAGTGAGACAGGTTAAAGGCTCTATGCTGCCTAAATCAGAGGGATCTGGGGTGAAAAACTCTGCTTTCAATCAGTCAGAGCAGGGACTTGGAGCTGTGTGCCCTACCTACCATGACACCCGCACACATCTCTGCCTCTCTGCCAACACAATTCTGTTGTCACAAAAACCTTCCAGTGCAAAATAAAAACAAATGTTGGGACCTCAAAAGCTGCTGAGAAATGGAATTGTCATTCTCTGGTCAGCTCTGGTTGTGGCTGTGCTCTATCACTATCCTGACATATACGAGGTGAGAAGTACATTGTGAGATAATTTATTCATGGAAAGAGCAGGGGGGGGGGAGGTTCCTTTGAAATATTAGATTGTAAGCTCTCTGGGGCAGGGACTGTCTTTTGGTTCTATATCTGTACAGCACCCAGCACAATGGCATCTTCACTGGAGTTTCTAGATGCTACAGTAATACAATTAAAAATACTAAACAAGAATCTAAACCTTAGAACTGAAATAACTCCATTGTGTTACATTCTTTAAAAGAAAGAGTCTGAATGCGAGGAAATGACTATGTCCAGCCGAAAGAACCCAGCTTTGCTCCTTATTGACATGTCTGTATTATAATGTGTACCTAGTAGTACCTAACCTCACTCAACCCCAGGTTCTGACCTGCTTATTTTCATTAGTGAGCAGTTAGGCTGTGTCTACACTACAAGCCCTACAGCATTAATGGAAAGGTTCCTACATTAATGGAAGGGTTTTTTCCATCAGTGTAGGTAATCCACCTCTCTGAAAGGTGATAGTTAAGTTGATGGAAGAATTCATCCACTGACCTAGCTGTGTCTGCAGTGGGGGTTAGGTCAACCTAACTATGGCACTCAGGGCATGAAATTTTTCACATCAATCTAGATAATCCACCTCTCCGAGAGGTGTAGCTAGGTTAATGGAGAAGTTCTTAATAACCTAGCCACATCTAGAACAGGACTGAACTATGGTGCTCAGGGAGTGAAATTTTTCACAGCCCTGAGCTACATAAGTAGGTCGATCTAATTTTTAAGTAAAAAGAAAAGGAGGACTTGTGGCACCTTAGAGACTAACTAATTTATCTGAGCATAAGTGAAGTGAGCTGTAGCTCATGAAAGCTTATGCTCAAATAAATTTGTGAGTCTCTAAGGTGCCACAAGTCCTCCTTTTCTTTTTGAGGATACAGACTAACACGGCTGCTTTACTCTGAAATCTAATTTGTAAGTGTAGACCAGGTCGTCTCAGTGTAAATGAAAATCAGGCCCATGATGTTTTCAGAAAAAAAAACAGATAAAAAAGAAGATCCCAATGCAAGATGTTTGAGCGAAACCTCTTGATGCCTTACCCATTCGAAGAAAGTGTTCAAGAGCAGATAATCCATATGAAAACATCACTCATTAATACTGTCAAGGTCAGTGAGCCTGTGCAATCTGCTGAGTAAATGCCGGATGAGCTGTATTTCTGCACTAATATTGTACCATGTCTTCGAAAAGAGATGTGGGCAGTGACACTCATCTCTACACAATTAATGCTGGAGCTAGATCCCCATTTATAAATACATATTTATAAATTGTGCTATTACCTCTCTTTTAAACACCCCCCTCAACTTCACAGAAATCAAACCACCTGACATTTCACAGATGTGTGATATTTACTGAAGGTAGAATTGCTTTTTTGAAGGTTTGGGGCAAAATCTGGTAACCTGCTTATTGATATGACAGGTCCAAAAAACTGAGGTGCATTTTGGGGACTTTTTTCTGGTATTTTCTGGTTTATAATAGCAATAGAATGGCTGAACCTAAGGTCCAGATTCATTGGGCTATGTGGGCTTTAGCAGAACTTGACTAGTCTGGAGAATTTGTGAGCTAGTTAGTTTTTTATGCATACAATGCCAACACCATAACGTTCAGAAGTCTGTATGAGATCAGTTACAAACCAAAGTTCTGGGACAATACATCAGTCCACACTTACATTAGGATGCCTGTAGCCATGACTGAGCTACTACAATAAGAGATTTCACTAAAGCAGACAATGCATGATCACCCTTCCACACCCCCACGCCCATCGGACTTTTAACCAACACAAGCTTCTTTCCAATAACAACTTTACTCCAAAAACTTCCTTTCAGCATTTAAAGGTGACCTGCAAAGGGGGAAAAACGAATTTGCGTTCCATTTGTTATTTTTCTTTGTGATATTCATAGCAACTGTGAAAAAACGGGATGGGGGTGGGAGTAATAGGCACCTATATAAGAAAAAGTCCCCAAAAAGGGGACTGTCCCTATAAAAACGGGCCATCTGGTCACCCTAGATATGTAAATAAAGCCTGAAAGATTGTTGGGCTTCCTTCCTCAACTATGCGCCCCCCATCTTGTCACTTTACAATCGAAATTTAGGTCTTGTCCCCTATTTTTCCTGGAAAACTCTATGGACCATTGGCTAACTGGTAGGATTTATGACATGAGAGAAATGAGGCAAGTGGAATAGAGTTGATAGAGATGGGAAGGGATTTTTATTCCAAATATTTAAAACATTTTGGTTCATTTTGTTTTTGTTAATACAATGCCTGAGAAACACTCGAGAGGGAAAAAATATGTTGCTATTAACAATTTGAAATTGTTAATTCTTAATCAAAGAAGGATTTGATTAAATCCTAAAGCTAAATTCCATATATGACATCTCCAGTGAGCTCGCCAAAAAGCCAGGGAACCAACTTGCCGTTCCTGATATTTCTAAGATAAAGTCCAAAGTAAAAAAATAAGCAGCAGGGGGAAAAAAAACTTTAAAAAACAGTCAACCAAACATCCTTCAGGCCATATAGTATAAATAATTCAAGAAGAACACAACCTTATGTTTTCCTTTTGCAGACCAGCTTTATTTTCTGTACTTTGTTTCACAGGTAAGAATTTTTCACACAGAGTCTTTTCCCAAGAGTTTTCTTATTACTCTTATTGTTATGGTTTTCCATCTTTGTTTGTTTATTTTATTCCTTGTTACTTGTCTCTGTTTTTCAGTCTTGCCTCAATAAACCATCACTCTATTGTGATCTCTTCTTTGAGTCAAGTCTATTTTCCTATACCCTGATTCAGGAAGGCACTTAAACACATGCCTAACTTTAAGCATGAGAGCTATCCTGGGACTACGCCTGTATTTGAAGGCATATGCATACTTAAGCACTTCTTGAATAAGGTCTAGAATAACTATGGACTAGTGCAGATAGATATATTCACAGAAACATGGATACCATTTATATCCCTTAACGTTCCTCATAGCAACATGGGCATTCTTAAGAAAAACTTCTTCTGAAACCAATAGAAATTCACAGATAAGAACTTGACTAAATTGGACTCAAGGTTGAGGACTGCTAACTTTTTTGAAAAATGCCTTCTAAAACAATAAAGTTTAACCAGACCCCCACTCCCCGGGAAAGTGTCCCCCTCACTTTTGAAATCCCCAGAATTCTAATTTCAGTATAAACTTTACAAAACCCAGCTAAGTATGGAAATTAGCTTTTAAGGTCACTCTAACAATCTTAAGTCTTCCCTGGTAGCACAGCCTCATAGACAGTCAGCTTCAAACAACACAGAATGTTGCATCATTAACTTCCCACTGTTGTACAGCCTATACTCTATGTGGATGCATGGATAACAGTGCCTTACTTTGAATGGAAGAGAGTTTACTGAAATACCTGATTCCTAATTATTCACTGATTGTGCATCAAGGAATCATTTAGAACACCCTGCCTCTGTCCAATTTTGGTTTTCATCATATATGGTGTATTGGTGCATCAATACAGTACATTGCTCCTTACGTCCTTAAGAACATACACAATCCATGGAAAGACACACTTTTTATATTCTTGAACCAAAATCAAAATCACATTGGGGAAACTCAATCACACTTCCTCAGAGCTCTTGGGGTATTCAGAAAGAAAAGGTGTTGTCATACTATGAGATTCACAATAACATTACACCTGCTCTGCCTAGAGCTAAAAATGTAAGTCCAGGATGAACACCGACATCATTTACACACTAGGCATCATGCTTACTTATCATAAACACACATGTAAAAAATCATCATGCTGTATTCCTAAAGCACAACACTCCACAGACCAGCTATACAAATCAGCAGGTGCATCTGATGAAGTGGGTTATAGCCCACGAAAGCTAATGCCCAAATAAATGTGTTAGTCTCTAAGGTGCCACAAGGACTCCTCGTTGTTTTTGCTAATACAAACTAACAAGGTGACACCTCTGAAACAAATCAACTGGTTGATTAGACGGAAGAAGTCTGCAGCTACAATTATGAACTCTCAAAGTCCTTCTAAAACTATCCTTAACAAAGGTCATTTGTATATTTTCTTCTAGGTTTAGCACTAAATGTCTGTCTCTAATAGTTTCAACTGAAGATTTACTGTAATTTGGAAATGGGAGTGAAAAGCTGCCAGGTTTGCAAACCAGAATAATAACAATCATAATTCAATGATGCAATTTTCCCAGCAAAAATGAGCAAGTATAACAAATATCTGATAAAAGTTTGGAAACACCACAAAAGATCCATGACATTATAAAGATAATGGAAAATCTGGGAAAAAGCCATTACATTTAAAATCATGCATGCAATAATTTTTCTAAAATTCAGACTGTTTGTCAGTTCCATCTCTCTCTCTCACGCACACACACACACACAAAATGTCATCTGTAGCTCTAGTTATTTGAATGCAGATTTTGTGGCTTAATGCATAAAATACGGACACAGAAGTATTGCATGTTGTACTGTCTATACTCTATGTGGATACATGGATAATTGTGCCTTACTTTGAATGGCCTCTTGTCCCAAGCCGCCGTGTGGTAAGCAGGGGGAATTTCTGACGAATGGTCTAATGAAAAAGTCAGGCATATTAGTTTCTAGCAAGGGCATGTTTCCTTTGTCAGCAGCTCTGAAAAGTTTGTCTTGAAAAAGCAAATGTTGAACAGTGGATAAATACTTATTCCTGAACATATTAAAAATAAAGCGTAGACTTGTAGTATAAGAGGAGACTGCAGAGACCGAAAACTGTTACATTTGTGATTCATGAATAAGTGTTATTTCAATGCTATCAAGATCCACAAACAACTAAACAAATTGTTTATGCTTTCTAGAGCCCAGAGTAGAGGTGACTTGAAAGATTAGGGCATTTCATACCCTCAGTCATCCCACTTTGTAACTCCAGATCTCCCCATAAGTGTGTACGTGCACACACACACACACCACAAGATCTCCTTCCCAGTCTCGCTCTTACTTGTCACCACAAAGACTAGTTGTCTTCAGGAGAAACCCATTCAATGGGTTGCACTTAAGCAGCACTGGATTCTTTGCCCCAGCCTCTAGGGAGGCCGTCAGGTGGAACAAAAGGACCGGTAGCAGGGATTCTACTCCGGCAGGTACTGTGTGGTGTGTCTGGGCTCTAGGGGAGAAAGGAAGGCACCAGGCCTGTGTGGGCTGGAAGGTGTTTAGGCCCTGGGGAAGAAAGGTAGGTACCAGGTGTCGGCACTGGAAATGGAAAGAGGAGATGCCGGGCCAGGGAGTGCGCCAGGGGACTGAAAGTACTTGAGAGTGCTTCCGGAGGAGGAGGAGAAGCAGCAGTACTGGGGAGTGGGTCAAGGCTGTGTAGAGGTGATGACAGAACTGGGGACCATGGGGAACAGGGAAGGGGCAAATGACTCCTTGTGATGGCTCCTCTCACTCCCCCCACCCTGAACCAAGCTGCAATACTGCAAAGGCTGGAGAAAGCCAGCTCAGGGAGAGCTCCCCCACCGCAGTGCAGCAGCAGGCCAGGATTCTAAAATCATGTCTGTCCCACTTGAGCAGTTCAGGGTGGGAGGAAACTGCTGGGGTGATCTAATAACACCCACATGAGAAATGACATCACACTGTGCTAAAATGTTCAGCAGATGGGTTTGCTTTTAACACCCACTCCTAGCCCTACTGCACCTGCTGGGGCCTCGGACTCAGATCTAGAGACTGACTCATGCCAGCAGGACAGCTCTGCTGCATGAGAGGAGGAAGCAGTGGGCACTCCCTTCCCTGGCAGGCCAGCTTTGCTGGCTGGTATATATGGGGGAGAAACGGGAGAGAAGAGATATGTCCTCACCCTCACCTACTTCCTTTCAGACAGATAGTGCCAAATGGGGGAGCAGGACCTATGCTTCCCAATGGGATTGTGGCCAGGCTATGGGAGTGGGGTGCTCCTTACTGGTCGTAATCTTTGCCTGAATAAAATACAGTGACAGAAGGATTTACATTGACAGTAGGATACAATGACTGAATGCTTCCCATCCCTCTGACAGGGCATCACAGATCCACAGGGTGTGCTATGCGCAGCCCTCGACAGGTGAATATTTGAATTTTGATAGAACCTAGGATCTCAAAGCACATTGTAAACACTGCTTGGTTTAGTTTTTCACTCCGTGGGAAGTAGTTTTATTACAAATCTGAGGCACAGAAGGGTAAGTAATTTTTCTAAGCTTGCACAGAGAGTCAGAGACAAAGCTAGAGATAAGATTCAGGTGGCCTGGTTCCAATTCCCTTTTCACTGATGACTCAGACACAATCACTCTGGATTCATCTTGATGCATATTAAACAATACTAATGGAAACCTGAAAAAAAAAATGACCCAAACAAAACTGCCATTAATCCTAAGTAAGGATGGCAGGATTTGGCCCTTAGATATTTTGTTTTGTAATGGATTGATTTTTCATCTTAAATGTGCAATCTGGAGGCTAAGACATACAAATTTCTCTCTCTCTCTCTCTCATACTTATATGACCCCCCGCTATTGCCCTAGTATCAGAGTGCCTCACACTTTTAATGTATTTATGATTATCCCCATTTTATAGATCAGGAATTGAGGCACAGAGGGACTAAATGGCTTGCCCAAGGTCACACAGGAAGTCTGTGGCAGAGCAGGGACTTACACCCATGTCTCCCAAATCCTAGGCTAGTGCCCTAATCATCTTTCCACACCAATAATTGTTTCAATGAGGCTTAAGGCAGTAGATGTACCAAATGAAAAGTCCTTTATCCCATAAGCAGAGGAAATAAAATTCACAATAAAAATACTGTTTAAGTGGAAATTTGTTGTTTCTCCCAATAATACTGAAGTCATTTAAGCAACGTGAGATGGGAACTCCCCAAATACATCCAATGCAGGTAACAAAATATGAGGAGTGAACGTTTTATGATCTGGAGTTGATTTCCATTACCGTTATTTCGTTAGACTAACAAATGCATTTCTGTAAGCAAACTGAATGGATCAGTGGTGTTTTACAAAATTGATCTGTGATGCCTTCTTGGTTTTCCGTTTCACTAACTGTATGTATGGGATTTAATTTGGAAAGTCCATATCTCTCACTCTGGTTAAATGATTTTAGGACTAATTGGGTGGGAGAGGTTGAAGGGGGAGGCGGGTTCAACAGTTTCCCACTTAGAAACTCATTCTGCTCTGAACTCTTCTTCTTCTCCTACTGAACCTCACAACATTTCTCTCTGTAATTGCACTAAAGACTGCCAAGTATAAAGCTGTGTGTTCTGTCCCAGATCCCTCAGGCTGCACCTTTTATATGAAGAATCACATCCCTCTCATTGCAAAGCAAAGGCTGCGAGAGAGAATGTCTCTTCCAGATTTCACAGTGCAAATCAAGAGGAATCTTAATTTCATTTCTTTGAGGTTGTTGTCTTAGCCCTGGTCTACACTAGGACTTTAGGTCGAATTTAGCAGCGGTAAATCAATGTAAACCTGCACCCGTCCACACGATGAAGCCCTTTTTTTCGACTTAAAGGTGACCGCTCTAGACAGCACTCTCAACTCAGATGCACTGGCCAGGTAGACAGGAAAAGAACCGTGAACTTTTGAATCTCATTTCCTGTTTGGCCAGCATGGCAAGCTGCAGGTGACCATGAAGAGCTCATCAGCAGAGGTGACCAGGCAGAGCTCATCAGCAGAGGGAACGGGGGCCTGACGATATGTACCCAGAACCACCCGCGACAATGTTTTAGCCCCATCAGGCATTGGGATCTCAACCCAGAATTCCAATGGGCAGCGGAGACCGCGGGAACTGTGGGATAGCTACCCACAGTGCAACGCTCCGGAAGTCGATGCTTGCCTCGGTACTGTGGAAGCACTCCGCCGAGTTAACGCACTTAATGCACTTAGAGCATTTTCTGTGGGGACACACACACTCAAACATATAAAACCGATTTCTAAAAAACCGACTTCTCTAAATTCAACCTAATTTCGTAGTGTAGCCATATCCTAAGACTCTGTTCAGAGGGAGCAATGCAGGTTTAGTTGGACCCCTTTTAATTCAAAGACGCAGGGGCTCTAGAAAGCAGAAGGATTTGTTCATTTCTGAGAGTCGTGATAACAGGGGAGGAGTTAAACATGGTTCTGTGGAAGAATTAGTCTGACAAGCAATGGACCGCCAGATGTTTGCTCCTTTACCTTCCCAAACGTCGCAGCACAGGCAGGTTCTAGCTTCTCTTTCCTGCAGAAGTCTAAATAATGTGCATAAAGGATGCACCTCGGTAAACAAACTCCCTCACACACGATGTAGTTTTCTTCCAGCCTGCAGAGTAAAAACAATAACCAGAATGAAAAGCCATCCCGTGGGTTCCCCCGTTTTGTTGTCCCTCCCTTCTTTTCCACTGCCCTGTCTGCAACATTTACTGAGAGCTCTCACTACAGCTTACTAGTCAGCAACTTACTGTACAGCACCTTGGGCAAGATGGAGGAGTGGAACGGCTTATGCTGGTCTGCTGTGCTTTATGTGTGACAACCAGCACGGTAGCTTTCTTCTCCAGCAAGAGGGAGAACAAAATCACCACCACCAAATAAGGGGAAGGATTCCTCCCTGGTGTTACTCCCTGAAACGCAACTGATTTACCTGCAAGGATCATTTTAACCCTATCACTTTTGACTGATCCAGAGCCTAAATCTAGATCCTGATTCAGTGCCTGGACTAATTCAATATGCAACTTCTGTCTAAAAACCCAGAGAAACTGGAAATGCTTATTTAGAGAGGGGCTGAACTGGAATTGAGGCACAACCTCATCTAGAGGTTATTTTTGTTTCCCAGACTCCTGTCTGAACGGGTGTGAGCCTGCATCTCTTAATATCTTGCCACTTCATTTAAAAGTGACACAGAGGCTAGCAGTGATGGACACCAAGTTGGTACTTCCAGGAATGAAACGAAGCCTGGTCCTTTCATCTTGTATTCGGTGAATATGGCGTGTGGGGATACCTGTGAGCTCTCAGTCTTGGAGCTATTTCACCCCTGGCCCATTTCTACCCCTCACTATTATCAATGCCATTCCCACATAACAGCTTCCTCTTCGCTCAAATTGCATACATGCATAAAAGGACTTGCTGTAGAAACCTCTATTGAATCGGTTTACGGCCCACTCCCCAGGTTAAACTAGCCTGAGAAATCTGGGGCAGCAATGCAGTCCTGTGTTTACTTTATATGGTTTTCACTGTTAGAGGAAGTAATCTAGGGCTAAATCTGAAGTTTGTAACAAAGATCTCGCTGACTTCAGTGGGAGATTTCCCTGACTTCAACCATGCTCCGAAGGGAATATTTCCCAAATAAGGGCTGTTCTTGGGTGTTTTCTTTGCTGGAATAAAATACAGTAACATCAGGGTTTCCAGTCTGGGAACAATGACCAGCTGCATTACAATTCAGTAAAACTACCAAAGGCATGACAATTAACTGCTCCTTTCACAAATGTATGTCTTAATTAATCACTCATCTTCACGTTTTTCCAGGATATGGCTATTTATTTTTAGAGGCAGGGGTAACAGTACCGCATTGAAATAAACTGGTGCTAGGCAGCTATAAATCAGATGCTGGTTAATCTTGAATTATTGGGTAACCAGAAGAGAATATTTCTGATGGGATCTTTATGCTTTCAATTGATTTCTATTTCAGAGGTTTGGCTTAGATTGTATGTTGAGCTGCGATAAATCAGTAGCAGTGAAAGTATTCGTGAACAGGTTTACACTTCCAGAGACAGGGCCTTAAAATGAGTCCCACTGTGTTTTACTACAGTCTGCATTAAAGCTAGTAAAAGCCACCCATATACTCCCTAGCAAATCTACTTCAGATATCTTGTGAGCTATGTTTTTAGATCGTTTTTTTCCCCTCCAAAACAGCACCAGATTAAATGGCAAATATTGTGAAAATGGGCTACAGAGACCAATTTCATGATTGGATAAACAAATACTTAAATTCCCTTTGTGGTCCGAAATCTTAATGTTTGATTCATTTGACCAATATACAGCAATAGATGCATTTTCTGCAAGTAGTAAAGTAACTTCCTTTGGGAAAGCTTTCCTTACACAGATTTTACCACCCTAATGCACTCAGACTTTGTAAATAATTATTAGCTTTCCTCCCACGAAAGAAAGAAAGAAAGAAAGAAAGAAAGAAAGAAAGAAAGAAAGAAAGAAAGAAAGAAAGAAAGAAAGAAAGAAAGAAAGAACTCCTTGTAATACAGGTGTGCTCTGTGTGTAGATGGGCAAGAGCCTTACCACTGTAGGGTGAGCTGGGTCTGTTTCTTTTTGTCCTTCATAATCTGCGTGATGGTTTTCTTCGGAGACAGGTTTTTGTCGAAGGATTTTATTTTACTGTCATGAATATCTGTATCCTCCTCTTCTGAGGAAAGGGCTTCACTGTTAAAATGTATTTCTGAGTGTCAGGGGGAAAAGAAAATAAATCCAAGTGCATCGTTACATTTGTTTATCACATTTCCATTTGAAAGAGTATTTTCGATTTCCCTGATTCAATCCTAAATTCCCTTCCTTTGATTTTATATCTCTGTGTGTACGTTGATCTAGATATCCGCACGCGGGTGTATTACACAGATACTTATTACATGTCCCTACACTCTGCGATGAACTAGGTTAGACAGATAGATCTATCGAGTTCATCTAATGTATCTATGCAATCGCCAAGTACGAGCGATATCTGTGTAATGTGACCGGTTGTGTATGCCAGGGATGGTCTAGCACCGGCATTACACTCCTGGCTTTGAGATGACATAGGCAGCCTCAGATCCAGGCTACACCTATCTACCTAAGACTCCTGGGGCGCAGGGAACCCGCCGTTCGCACCCCGCCCTATGGACACACTGAAATAGACCCGCTGCCTGCAGGTGGGAGCGGAAAGCGGGGAGATAGAGGCACGATCCGATGCTCTTCAGAGGGCAGTTACACAGCAGTTCCCCCGCGGGGGTAGCGCTCTTACCTGACTTGATCCCAATGGGCAGGGCAGGCTCCGGATCGCCCTGCTCTTGGCTGTCCAGCGAACTGGCTTGCTGCAGCGCCGGGGCGCATAGCCCCTGCTCCGGGTAGGAGAGCAAGGCCTTCCCCAGCAGGCCCTCATAGCAATCCTCCTGGAGCCCGGGGGACCCCTTCTGCGAGGGCTGCAGGAAGGAGTCGTCTTCTCCCTCCGGCGCCTTAGCCATGCTCTTCATTGGCACATTCTCCCAGCAGCGTCCATGCGAGCAGCAGCCCCCTCCCGGGGGCAGGCAGGCGTCTCACGCCTTCAGCAGGGCTGGGGGCGCAGGGGGCACCGACAAGGACATCAGCCCCTGGGCGAGCCCCGCTTCTCCCCGTCCCCCTCCAAGCAGCCTGGTGCCCTGGAGGAGTCTGACTCTGGGTGCCACTCTTGCAGATCAGCCACCCCAGCCACGGACACTGGCAGGATGCCTGCAGCAGGAGAGGGACGTCGGGGGCAGGTTTGGCTTAACCTCTAGTCCCAGGGGGCTGCATGGCTCCTCCGTCCCAATGAGATCGGGTCCCGTTCACAGTGCCTCGCGCGCGCCACACGCCCAGCTGCCTGCCCGCCCTTTATGCTGGCCGGCAGCCCCAGGAGCGCTGCTCGTCCCCCATCCCTCCCTGCAGAGGGGCAGGTCCCAGCGAAGAGCCCCCTTCCGCGGGAGCCGCCGTGTGAACTACACGGGCTCCGACGTCACTGACGGGACTGAAAGCGGTTTAGTCCTGGCCCCGGGGGAGTGTGTGGGGGGACCCGGCGCAGAGCCGAGCTGGAGCAGGGTTAATGGTTAACCCCGCAGAACAAGCATTTCTGATTGTGTTTCTAGCCCGCCTTTCATATCTCCAGCGGGGCGGAGGGGGGGGCTGTGGTCCCCGCAGCACCCAGGGGCTTGAGAAGAAGCAGCGGTGCCCACGGTCATGCAGGTGGAGGCAGAGAAACTACAACCAGGCTGGCAAACAAGTGGCGCTGGCGCGCAGCCAGGTCAGGGCAGCCTGCCCAGCTGTCCCGGGTCAGATCCTCCCTCCTAGAGGGAAGAAGAGGGGCCAGCTGAGGGGGGGAGGGGAGGAGGGGGGCTCTGCATCTCACTGAGCAGGGCCAGGGACCAGGGAAAGAACACAGGGACTTACATACATACCATTCCCCAAAGGTCGGGCTCTGGCCCCACCCTGCTCTGACCATCGCATTCACTGTGGGTCTTTGAAAGGACTTGGGTTTGCATTGCTCTTTAAGGGAGAGCACAGAGCTGGGTGGGCATTTTGCGTCGGGCGGGTTTGCCAGCTGGCCGAAAGGGACACGTTGTGGAGAAATGTGTCGATGAGGGGCCGGGGGCGGGAAGCATTCTGATACAATGGACACCTTCCCCTGGCCTGGTTTTGGAACTCAGCCTTTCCATTTTTCATTTTCAAAATGGCTTTTTGTTTTGAGGTTTCTTTTCTTTTAAATTCTAATTTAAAAAAAAAATCAAATGGTCAAAATGGGAATGAAATATTTTGATTTTATTGAAATGAAACATTTCCATCAATCCAAAATTATTTTAGTCATTTGTTGATGAGAATTTCGTTTGACAGGAAATTTCTGATTTTTGTGTGTGTGTTCAGGTTCCATTTCAAAATGGGACAAATGTTGAAATCATGGAATTTCCTGTGCAATGGGAAATCCAGTTCCTGCCCACCTCTGGAGAGCAGCGCTCTTACAGGCATGCAAACTTAACATGAGCTGAGCACTAGATAGTTTCCTAGCTCTGGGCTGAGGTGCCAGAAAGGGAAGAGGGACAAAGAGTTTTGCTTTGCCTAGGCCTCGTTCCTGCACCAGCTAAAACTTTGCTCATCTTACTTCTGGTGTACAAGGATTAAGGCTCTCTAGCATTGACAATGGTAAGGACAAGGAAGGGGGAGTGTGAGGGCGGAGCTAGGGCCCACCCCCTTCACTGGCACCAGCTTGCAGTGTTGGACCATCACTGGGTATGTGATTCATGAAGCAGCTGCTCCAGTGCGCACTCTCCCAGTCTCCATTGCTTTGCACTTCATGGCATCATTCATGCCTGTAACAAGAGGCAGAACACTACCATTCTAACTTCAGTGGTTTCTACCCACTCTACCCAAAGGTGTCAGATGACACAAGGTGTCCAGTGAAGTTGATGTTCAGCCTTTCCTCATGACCACAGCATCAGCCCAACACAGGTGGCATTGCCAAGAAAGCCTTGTCTGCGCTTATATATGCCAAAAGGATCAGAGCTACAGTGTGAATATGAATGACAGAATTTAGAAATGGAAAAGACCTATGAGGTCATCCCAGTCATTCCTCTGCCAGGGCAGGATTGTTCCTACTAGTAAATTTCTTAGTGATTCGTTCATTCTACTTCTAAGTGTCCCAGGTGAGGGTGTTTTCCCCTTTTCCCTTTGGATATTATTCCATGGCCTAATAGATCTCACTGTCAGGAAATCATATTCAGCCAAAATCTTCCCTTATTTACTTTCATCTTGTTAACTCTTTCTGTGACCCTCTAAAATTTCTCTCCCCCCAGGAGGAGAGGGACGTCGGAGACAGGTTTGGCTTAACCTATAGTCCCGGGGGCTGGAGGGCTCCTCCATCCCAATGAGATTGGCCCCCGTTCACAGTGCCTCGCGCATGCCACATGCCCAGCTGCCTGCATGCCCTTTATGCTGGCCGGCAGCCCCAGGAGTGCTGCTCTTCCCCGATCCCTCCCTGCAGAGGGGCAGGTCCCAGCGAAGAGTTACACCATTACACAGTTTGTACATCTGTAAACTACTACCATGTCCCTTTCCCCTCAGTCTTTACTCAGTAGTTATCACTCAGCATTCAAACAACACACACAAGACCAAATCCTGACTCAGTTTATACTTCAATTCTTACTCAGTCAAAGCGTTCATCAGACCAAATTCAACCCCGAGTTTCACTGATGCAACTGCATTGCCTGGTGTAACTGAGAATTGAATGTGACTCTATGACTTCACTGAGAGTTCACATCACTGAGACAGTACTTTGAGAGTTGGTCCACAGTAATTAGCTCTTTCAACATTTCCTCTAAAGTAAATCCTTCCAGTCCCTAATTATTTGTATCCATCTTCTCTGAGCACACTCTAGTGTGTTGTGTCTTTCTGGTAATGAGGTGCCCAAAATTGAATGTACTATTTCTTGCCAAGGAACCTGATTCTATGGCCTTGGGAGTAACTCCACTGAAATCAAAAGGATTATGACAATGTAAAAGTGGATCGAGACAGTGGTGAATCAGGTCTAGGGGCCAGCTGGCTCCCATCCTTGGTGGAGTCAGATAGTTATGACTGCCTCCTGTACAGAGTGCCCCCTTCCTTTAACACACCTGCTCTGGTTCAGTCATGATTTGGCCTATTGAGAGAGAGAGAGAGCATGCTGAAAAGAGCCACTGCTTCAATTAACTTTACTGAAAGTCTGCAATGACTTTTAAGAGCTACTTAAGCAAATCTAAATGCTCAATGAATTTAGCAACCTTTGTCGAGCTCATATAAACAGTCATCTACTTGTCCTTTCAAAGCCAGTGAAAGATTGTCCTGTGGTGTTGCCAGCTTAATATAAAACTAAGCATATGTTTGCAATAGTAAAGAAAGAAAATAGGATAGACTAGAGCACCTAAGCAAACACACACCGAGTGTATGAGAACTAGTATCTCATCCAGTGCCACATTACGTGAGCAAACATGTCTATTCTATAATTAATAGAAATAAAATAAGTAACAGTTTTTATAAATACAGGTAATAGTTAACTGTCAGTTATTCTTTGCTGATGTTGGGTAGACAGTGCACTTTAATAAGCCTAAAATAGTTCCAACAGGTTTTATTTGAAAAATATATGTTGATATACTAATCTATGGAAGGAAAAATTATCCTAGGGGTATTGAGTTACAGTGTGTAGAAATAGCTTGCTTGAAAGCAGAAAAAGCAAAAATGCATTTGGCATTTATAATTTCATCAAAATTCAATCCCCCCACCTTATTCCTGGGGCTAAAACCCCTGTTCTTGCCTTGGTCTCCATCTTTCCCTTTGACTACTCCAGCCTGAACTGCCTTGTCTCAGGCCAGTCTGCTTCCTTCCAGTCTAGCCAGGGTCCTGAAGCAAAAATTGTTACTTTCTCATTGCTTAAACTATGTTGCTCCCATATTATTGTTATTTGCCCTCAGTATTACATCATGGGGATTTCTTTTTAAAAAATAGCCTTCAAAACTTACAAGATCTTTATGCATAAAAAGGGGAAACCTACTGTCTAAAATTTGTTCCCATGAGTCACCAATAGCGCCTGACCTCAAATCAACCCCTTAGATTTGGGTAGTTAGGAGTGTTATTAAACCCTATGCAGAATTCCTGCATTTTAGGTGCTCAAATGCACTCATAGTCCTTGACTTTCCTTAAGGTTCTCACAATGTCTAACAGGGCTGTCTTCTGGAGGACACTGATCATGATGTCTTGTACTCTTAACATGTCCTTGAGCTGCTCCTCATACCTTTTGGGATCGCTGTAAGTGCTCCAACAATCACAGGGATCATCTATGTTCTAGTTTTCTGCAATGGATCCATTTTGTGGCAGCGTTCTTCATTCCTCACTGTCTCCTCTTGTTTCTTTTTTATGCTTCTATCTGCTGGCACATCACTATCAATTAACATGGGCTTTCTTGTCTTCTTTTCTACAACCACTATGTCCAGCCTGTGACACCTGCACCGTTTGGTCTGAGACAATTACCAGATCCTACAAAATCTTAGCCTCTTTGTTCTTTAGAGCACTTTCAATCTGGTGGTCGTAGTTCTGCATGGCTCATTTGAATCTGTACTTGCCACAGAAGCTCCAGTGCGGGCACTCGTTTAACCTCGTTGTACCTGTCCATGTACTCTCTCCCAGCCAGGTTCCTGCAAGCATTCAGTGTGCAAGCACTCCTTTTCGGAACACATTCTGCAGTTCGGGGATCAGTTCTGTTGATCAATTTTGTTGTGAATGTAATTAAGTCTTAATGACTGCTCATGTGCACTCATAATAACTCTCTGTCTCTCTTTTGAGGTTTGCAGTGTATTCTGGAGCTCTGTTGGTTCCAGGATATTAGAGAGACAAGGTGGGTGAGGTAATATTTTGTATTTGACTGGGCCTGAAGAAGAGCTCTGTGTTGGCTCAAAAGTTTGTCTCTTTCACCAACAGTAGTTGGTTCAAT